GAGGTAGCCAGCATCCATAAGGAAAAACACTGATAGGGACAAAAAGCAGGCTCCAGGAACAACAGTCAGTCAGTCACAGGGATGTTTTAGGACAATGAATCAGAGCACACTGGCAATGGATGCCATGGGATATGTCCTGTTTGGGTAGCATGTCAGCTTTTGCAAGCAAAACCAAGCTCTCTCTTGGATATGTGGTTACTGAGTTTCCAGTTTCTCTCAGAAAAAGACTTGCTAAGAAATTCCCTGGAATCTGGGCCCCAGAGAAGGTGATGGGGTAGAGAGGAGGAGGGTAAGGGGGTATAAGGTGCTCACACCAAAGCCATGTGACCAATGCAAAGGTAGTCAGGAAAAAAAGCAGATTTTTATAATAAATAAACCATCCAAGCTGCATTAGTGTTCCAGATATGTACTCAACAAGACCCTCTCCCAACCACAAACCAGCAAGAATGGGACATGAAAACTCATTCAGACAGCTAATGGCACAGTCTCTTTGAACTTTGGAAAGAGGATTTTCCACTGATTTAAGGCCCACCTTTCTTTGTGTTTCCTAGATATATGCAAGGACCGTGCCCCCCCCCCCCCACCACAAACCCCTTAGGGAGTAGAGGATACACTGGAGAAAAGACCAGTAGTATCCTCCCTTTAACAAAAAAACCTTCCTGATAAATTGTACTTTTGCACAGGCATTGGAAGTAAGCAGGAACTTTCAGAGCCAGGAACCAATGCTATAGCTGCAGTTTTCCCCATCCTCTTACTTCACTGAAGACAAGTCCCAAGGACTTGGCATTCCTTTGGTAGAAACTATAGTCCATGCTATGGCCTCCAGGCAACATAGTGGGTACCAGCATCTCCTCTTCTACTTTTCCCCTGCCTCCCTGAAGCTCACCCAGCTATATCTGTTACTGCTCTGAAGACATTACTGTGGGCCATTTCCACTTTTGCAGTATTATTCATAGCCCTAAAAGTCTCCCACACAGCCTGAAGACACAGAGACACATAAAAAACACTTAGATTCATCCACACTGGGGGGATAAAGGTGGGACCTGTTGGATTAACAATCCTCTGACATCGCCATTCTATTTACACATCAAATAAAAGAAAACAAATTAAAATCAAGTTAAGAGTCTGCCCCAAGGATAACACAAATTACCAAAAAAAAAAAAAAAGATTAAAAACAAGCAGCAACTTTTATATAAAATTAATAAAAACAAAAGACAAATGAAAAAGAAATTGTCAGTAGCATCTATCGCCTCTCTGCATCTGAACTGCACTTATACAAACTAGTCCATTAGTACAGCAGCTTGCTAGAAATTGACTTTGGTTCAAGCTTAGTTTTAAAAAAATAAAACATAAAAAAATCAAAAACACATAAGAAACGGTGGACGGACATTTGTTAGTTTCCCTGCTTGCAGTTCACTAGTTTTGAAGTTTTAGGGGTAATTGGTTTAAATATCAGTAAAACAGGAAGGTGGAGAGTTAGAGATGAACAGAGCAAAATCATGGCGGTGGGGGGAGAGATAAGGGGTTCTGCCACTTGAGTGCAAACACAAATCCCACATGCTCAGGTCACAAACCAAAGCATATGTAGAATTTAAAGTTGCTGCCTTCCGGATCTTGGATGAGAAGCTCCAGGATCCCCCTGAATCATCAAAATAATGAATATAGCTGCATCAGCTCATTATTTTAGGACACTCTGGTGACAAAAGAAAGGGGGGTGGGTGGGAAAGGGACTCTTCTAATATCCTCACTAGCTAAAAGTAATTTAGTTTTATACACATGGCAGAAACCTTTAAATCCATCAGGAATGGAAAGTTCCAAGTGAACTGCATTGCAGTGATCCAGTCTTCTCTTTTTAAAAATCTTTTTTTGTTTTTTTTGGTTCAGATACTGGATTGTATATTTAAGAATATACGGATCTAACTTCTGTACAGTTCATCACCTCTTCCTCATCCACAAAAACATCCCTTTGCTACACGGATCAGAACCGACCTTGCAAAGGCAGTGACAGTGACAGGCGACCCCGACGTGCCGCTTGGAGACGCTTATTCCCGGTTTTACTCGGCGAGCGGCGCCGCAGCTCAGAGACCACATGAGATGACTCAGGTGTGTGCAAAGCCCCAGAGCTGTGCTGGCATCAACAATGGCAACTTCTGCTCCCATATTCTTGGCTTCTGTGTTTGGCAGCCAGAAGCGCTCCTTTACGGGACAATTTTTCCTAAATACGACGTTGGAAGCATCGGAAAAGGAATATTGCTATGAATGGGGAGAATCCGACCTTTTGAAATCTCGTGCCAACTCACCTGGTGGGAATTTAGAATTGTAAATGCTGCTTTACATACTGCCAATTAGCCTGGGTAATCTGACATTTTTAAAACATTTGTGTGTGCTCTTGCACAGCCAAAGGAAATCACTGGAACAGAAGAGCCATCGCTACGTCACACAGCCTGCCCTCGGGAGGTCACATCCCGCTCTCTGAAGTGAAAGGAGCCAAGCACACAAAGCTCAGAGCAGAATTTGGCCATTTTGTCTTAATAATTGAGAGAAATGCAGCTCAGAACTAATTCCTACCTCTGCTTGAAAAGCAGAGACCAGCCTGGAAGTTTGCACACAATGATCTCTGCTGCTACACTGAGCCTCCTGCACAAACGATGAACGTAAATCCTTCTGACCCCTACGAGTAGGCATTAGACAAATTCAGGGATGAGGAAACTGTTCAGAACGTTCCCAGAAGATTAGGACAGAAAGTCTATTTGTGCTCCATTCTTCCTCTCCACCCCCCCGCCCTCCCCCTCGTGGTGTGGGAGCTCGCTGAAAATAATCCAGGAGCAAAGACAAACGCGTCCAAACTATATATATAAAAATAATAATAATAATAATCATAATAATAATAATAGAGATACACCAGTAATACAGGCCTGCCTAAATTGTACCAGTTAAGAAAGGAACCCCCAACATGATTGATACGATTATAAACACCTTGTATGACATAATGGCCTGTACAACAGACCTATAAAATGATAATTAAAAAAGAAAGATATTTAGACCAAAAAGAACCAAGAAATCCCCTTCCTATGTTTGAACTGATAACCCACCTTAACTTGTCATTGTGACTGCTGGAAATGATAAGTAGTCCTTTCACTTTTTTTGTGTTTTTATGGTTTTTTGTTTTTTTGTGGTTTTTTTTTTTGTTTTTTTGTTTTTTTACATTTTTGGTTAGAAAGTTCTCCGATCCATGAAGCGATCCTGAAAAGACAGTGTTTATTATAAAATTAGGCAAATGTCTGTCCCAGCTTTAAATCCTTCCTGTTTCGCTTTTGGTTTTTTTTTTTTTTTATTATTTTATTTTTCTTTTTTTTTGTTTTTTCCTTCTCTCTCTCTCTCTCTCTCTCTCTCTCTCTCTCTCTCTTGTCCCCAGCAACACGGTGAGAGGATGCCCATCGCATTTTCAGTTTATAAACCCTGCTGGCAGCCAATCCCACCGCACAGTGAAACAGGCTGCTGGCAGCACAGCTCAGCCCGGCTCACTGTGCCTTGGAGGCAGTAGTGGTGGTGGACGTGGCCCCGCTCCCAGAGGCCACCGTGAGGAGAGAGTTCTGGATGGACTCGGCTGAGGTGGAGGTGGCGTGAAGGCTGGCGACTGGTCCAGAGGCCCCTGCGGAGGCTGCAGCTGCAGAGACCAAGCTAACTGGGTTGCTGGTGAGCAGAGAAAGGTTCTGAGGGTTCAGGAACAGAGGGGCAGTTACGATGTTAGGGGTACCTCCAGCATTGGCAAACACCAAGTTTCCAGTTGCATCCAGTGATGTTATTGGAAGAGAGCCACCAGATGCAAGAGCTAAAAAAAGGGAAAAATCGAGCAGGGAGGAGATAACATTAGCAGTAAGCAACAATGCAAAATGTGCCTAAAAGCAAGGGGGCTCTGCATTTTCCTTTCTCTGATACCTTTGCTCTGCGCACCACTAACGACGGCTGTCTCATCATAGGTTGTTCATTTTTTAAATAACAATCAGACAAGACCTCGCAGACACTAAAATGCCTCTGTTGTTTGCTTCTGGGCTAACCCCATTGTGCCTTTCTTCAGACCTTTAAGCACAACAGTGATCTATGTTTCCTGTCAAAGAGAGCCTGTACATTCACCAGCTTGCACTGGAAAGGGTTGAGATGAGTGTTCCTGTGAAATGACAGCTATCAGAAGAAGAAGAAGGTCATGTAACCTTGACTGTAACATTTTGAATGTTGACATATAACCAAACACTGTTGCAACTTACTCTCACCGGTCTAGTGTTCAGTCTGCCTCAGATTATGATCTCCTAAATTTATCTCTGACGCTTTATGAAATGGTTCTTTCTTGTAACCTGGAAACAAGATTTGTTCAGCTAGTTTGGGAGATATTTGAACACACAGGTTAGCTAGACCTCCTGTACTATGATAGACCATGAACTGAGAACAACTTTTGCTGAAGTCAGTGGTAACTTCTGACCACGTCTGGCACTCCCAAAATAAATTTTTACTCTTCTAAACAAGGATTTATGTATTTGAAGTTCTCCATAAGGACTTTAGGAGGCAGGATCTTTGTTGTAGGTTCTTTTTAAATACATAAGAGGACAAGAATTCAGGATCAAGACTTGCTGAGAACTGCCCTCCTAACAGACCTCAGAATGGTGCAATTCTGCTCAAGCAGACTAGAGAAGAGCTATAAAAAGCAAATCTCCAACCTGCTAGAGACACAGGCCAATGAGGGGAGGAGAACAAAATAAATTCTAGAACACATTCAATATCTTAAGTGCCTCCTGTAAATCACCCTAAGATCATACACATCTGATTCCTTTCTGTAGTTGCACCTGCTCTTATCTCTGTGATACACATTTAAATTTTGTAAAACCTCAACTCCTATAAAATTTATGTCCAGTGCTGAGAAGTCAGTGTTCTTCTTTGGCAGAGAAAAACAAAGCCTGTAAACTGAAGCTGTATGACAGAGATGCATTAATAGGAACACTACTGACCTTGAATAGTTGCCAGTGTACTGTTGCTCATCAGGGCTGGGCTGAGAGCACCACCTAATGTCCCTGGATTGAGACTGAGTAAGGCACCTCTGCAGGAAGCAAGATCACAAAAGAAGGAGAAAAGGGAAAGAGTGTTACTTTTTAGGAAAGGTTGTCACTGTTCATAAATACATCATCATATTTAAAATCAAAAAAAAAAAGGGGATGAAGGAAAGACCAGAGACTAAGGACTATTTTTAGTTGATTTTAGTTTTCCCTCCATGAGTGATTAGTGACAAGTACAGGCACTGGAAATACATGACTTGTATCGGTTGTTGCTGTAAAATATTTTTGTACAGTATTTTAGGGAAAGTGCCTCTTGTTAGAGAGCTATCATCCTCTCCCAAATTGAGATAAGAAATCTGTAAACCAAGAGGAATTAAAGAGACCAAGAGTCATCTGTCTGAGCAACATTTTTAAACCTACAACTCCAACAATCGTGCATCTTTTACAATTTCTTGCTCATAATGGAGAAATGAATACAGAGGGGTGAAGTGGGTCTAGGCACTCTCTCCATTCTACAATTAGTTGGACAGATTCTATATTTCAGTGGTAAGTTGCAGCTCTTAAGCTCTGCAGTGGATGAATGACTTATTAAATAACAACGTTGTTGCAATGCAGCTTTTTCACCTTTAAAGCGAACACAACATTTGTGTACGTGGATGGGAATGGCAAATTACCACCTATGAGTAAACCTTCAGAATTTGAGATAAATGGCACTAGAATCACCATGAAAACAGTGATACATAACAGCAATTTATCCCAAGAATCCTCCTTCCCTCTTCTGTTCACCTCACCAAGAAGGGGTGTGCAAAATTCCTCCTTACCCAGCTGCAAACTGCGAGGATGCCATCAAGCCTGGGTTTAGTCCTGCTGCAGCAGCCATGGCAGCAAGACTTGCATTTGCAGGCAACTGTGCAGCTCCTTGTAACGCAGCTGCCGCCGCTGTTTGCAACCCTGATGCCGTTACCATCACCTGGCTGGTCCCAAGAGGGGAGGACAAGGGAGTGGAGGTTGTCTGTGTTGTGCTGGTCTCACTGGCACTGGATGCCTCTGAAGTGGAGGCTGAGGCAGAAGGGGAAGGACTCAGGGAGGGTGATGTCACTGCTGAAGAAGCTGGAGGTGCTGTTGAAATCACTGTTGCCGTGTTGTTAGAGGTGGTTTCTGTTGTGCCTGGAAGATTGATTCTGGTTAGATCAGTACAAAACACAGATATGGCTAAACAGAACCCCCTGCCCACCTGAACAGAGCTGCACACCCAACTGAGAGAGGCACAAACACACATTTCTGTAGTACCAAGAATCACCAGGGGTTCAAATGAAAAGCTTGGACTACAATGAAGTGACACTTCCCAGCAGAAGGCTGAGGAGCTCTAGAAGCCAGCAATGGAATACAGAGTGTTTCATTTCAGCATCACCTGTGATTTTATCCCCAAAAAAGTCAACTCACTGGTCACAAAGACAAAAGTTTCCTAGCAGAACAACAAGGAACAACGACAAGAATGTCCTGGGATACCAGTCATCAACACGAAATGGTATTTTTAAGAATAAAAAGGGGAAAATGGTAGAGGTTGATGTAGTGTCAGGAGAAATCAGCCCTTACCTGTGACTGACAGACTAGTTACAGCAGGACTGGCCAGAGGGAGCACGGGGTTGACAGTCAGGGTTGTAGCTGCACTGCTAGTCACAAGGCTTGGCGTGGTTGCCACCTGGAGGTCAAAAACGAATAAAACTGCTCAACTGCTCAAAGACAGACAGAGTTAGCTACTAGAGCTGGATTTCTTTCTTCCCATCCTCAGCTGAGGAAGTTATCAAGGAAAACACTGCATATGAACTAACTTTTTTGTATTTCCATTACTTTATCATTCAGTGGAACAATCATAATACCTTCTCTAATTACCAGCAATCTTTATTCTTAATAACTCAGTATTTGAAAGGAGATATATCCATATTGTCTCAAGACTGCAAGTTAGCTCTCTCTTTCTCTCTCTCTCTCTTTGCCTCCCCTCGAGGAGAGCACCTTGTTTAAATAGAGTCATTCTTATAGAAAGAGTTACAAAATACATTTTTCTGCATTCTTTTTCTTGTTTAAACATCTTTTCAGCTTCACATCTCTTTCTATGATAAAATTATGTCGATGCCAGCATTACCAAAGGTATTTAGGGTAATGTGTTTACACGGAGAAGCAGAATAACATTTCACTTTTACTTGACCAAACTATAAGCTTCATTTTGATAAGTTTCCTTGTGCCAGAGGAAGGATCTCTGGATTTTAAAACATACAAATGCAGTTTTCACTTGTGGATGGCTTATTACAAGAAAGCTACAATAAACTGAAGATATCACAAATAAACACGAAAGATTTAAGGCTGGAGAAACCAGCTTATGAGGAAAAATGAAATATAAGGAGAGAAAGGACTTTTTATGGACAACAAATGGTGTCCAACAGTAATATTTGAAGGCTGTTATACATCAGTGAGAGAAATGAATCCTTTAGAATTGCCCAAGAGAATGTAGCCAAGGATATAGGTTAAAACATTCCTCCTTTCCCTTCTCTTACCTTAAGTTTATTATCAGAGAAATATCTCTCATGCTGCATATCCTCTTATAGGGAATCAAATGCTTCATGCATTTTAAACAAGACTGGGGCAACTGGGACAGACCTAAAAGCTTTCTGCCTATCTGGAATAGTGCATGAGATAAAGAGGAGCTGGATACACAGCACACCTCCCACTAACGCGGCCCAGATGTCGCATCTGTCATCTGTCCACCCAGCAGTTAAGGCCAAGGTCACAATCCATATTTCAGGGCAGGGAATGACCTAGAATTAATACAGTTCACCCCGTGGTCACAGTGACTGACTTCAGCCAATGCAAAACCAGGCTGCCACCAAAAGGGGCCTTCCCCTCCAATCCTGCTTCAGGGCCCCTGCCCTCGTGCAGCCAGGCTGCAACTCACACTGGTTATCCAGCCATATGGAAAATTCATCATTGTTCCTCACATGGCTAATTTGCAGTCAAACTAGTAGACTAAGCCCAAGCATCCTATGGACACAATCTCCAGAGCTGACACAAGGAATCAACAAAGCACACAGTCAGTGAAGGCTGGGGGCAGCAGGGCTGGAACATCCATTTGAGCCGTAGCACAGTCTTAGGAGAGGTTTACAATGAGTAAAAATGCTTCATGAAACATCACTGATAAAAGGGAGACCATGGTTCACACCTCAATTTCTTACATACAGTGGCAGATTATAACAGGGAAGTTACTGTAGGAAAGCTTCTTTAAGTTGCAGTCTGAGTGAACCTGCACAGTTCCTAGAACACACTATCATAAATCTCCCTGCTTTGGCAGCAAGGCATGCAACCTTGCTTTGCAACTGGGGAAAAAATAAAGAGTAATAGAAAAGGAGATTAAGTACATTTAACACATCCCTTCCCCTGAAACAAAAGGTTGCATGCACACACCCTGAGACAAGGATGAGGGGAAAGAATAACACATCACCAAAATTAATGGTTTAATGAAGTACTGGAAGATATTAGCTACTACGGTGATGAGGGTGGAATAAATACTACAAAAGGACAGCTACAGGCTACATAAATTCCACCACATTCCTATTAGCATAGCTACTATGAAATCTAATAGCTACTGTTTCTATTTATGAAAACAGACCTCCATGGGCATTGGTAGCAAAGATGCTGAAGGAACCTTGATGCATGTGTTTTGTTACTCTTATTTTCATGAAGTTTGTGTTTACCTGAGGCAAATACAAGTGTGGGAAATTAATAACATGAGTATTAGCTAAACTGTTTCTTTGTTCCATGCCTTTTTTAATATAAATAATTTCTGACTAAAAGTGACAACAATGGTATCAATGGATTTGCATCATGTAAGTCTCCAAACGATGCAGTATCACAGAATGGCTCACGCTGGAAGGAACCACAGTGGGTCATCTGGTACAACCTCCCTGCTCAAGCAGTGTCATTCTAGAGCACATGGCACAGAATTGCATCCAGACAGTTCTGGAATATCTCCAGCAAGGGAGACTCCACAACCCCTCTGGGCAATCTGTTCCAGTGCACGGTACGTTCTACTGCTGCTCATTCACTTATCAGAGCAGCCAAAACAAGAGGGGAGGGGTAGAGCTGTTAAACGTTTTTTTATTACTATTATTTTGCAAAAAAAAATTTGGGTTAGAGGGAAGGTCCAGATATAAACTGGAGGCACTACCTGAAATAAGTTCAAAGCAATAAACCCAAGTGCAAATTTGTCAGTCAGAATACTTGTTTATGAGCTGACTAAATAAAACACCCACACTGAAGGCCTGACTAGTGCCTGATTTCTAAGTATTCTTAGACAGTATCTTAAAATGCCAGTAAAATCTAAATATGTGAGAACAAATCTGCTGTACAAAGAAGGTACAGCACGTGTAACTTCCACAGTGAGCAAAGCAGAACTACCTCTTTGAGTGAACTTTGCCAACACGGTTCTTAATTCTTACCAGTGAGGTTGGGCAAGGGAAAATTGCTTTGATGGGCGAGCTGCTGGTTCCACCACTGCTGGGTGGGTTGATCCTTTTCTCCTTCTGGCGCCGGTTACAGAACCAAACGCGGATCACCTCCTTCTCCATGTTTAGCTGGTCAGCTATCATGGCGATCTCATCCGAGGTAGGCTTTTGGTTCTGAGGAAAGGAAACAGTGCTTGAAAAGCTGTGAAATCACCTTTGGAGGTTTTTACATTGTAGCCTCTTCTTCAGTAGGCAGAAATCTGGATGGGGTGACTCAGGTCCAGAACCTGATCAGTGGTAGATCAGCAGAGACAAACCATAATAGGTGCTTCTGCCCTCCAGCTGAAAACCTCACATTATATATGTATAGACTGTTGTCCCATTTATCCATCCTCAGAAAGGGTAATGTTTAGATTTACTGTTCAGTATACTGGAATACAAAATCACAAAGTCAGCAACCTGCAAGAACCAATGGGTTTTTTTGAAGGGGTTTGTGAGTGTTTGTTTTTTAAAGTGAAGCAGACATTGATGTGGGCTTCTTGGCACAGCTTTTGTATTCACCTTGTTTAGTGCTAACACTGTCCTAAATAGCACAGTAATGGGCTCAGTCTAACAGCTCTAATTGCTAACCAAAGTTTCTTCCTTTCTTCAAAGGCTGAGCACAGCAACAGGATCACTGACCTCCAGGAAACTCTTCTCTAAGGCCACACGTATGTTGGTCTCTATGCTGGTGCGTTTCTTCCTCCTACGGTTCAAGCCTTCGATCCCTTGCCCTGGAGAATTCAGGGCACTTGGGCTGGAGAGAGTTGAATCAGATGAGAGGTTTTCTGAAAAAGAAGAAAGTAACACAGATCAGGAGGTTTTCTCTGAATGCAGTGCAGTCTAATGCAAGTGTTCTTCATCTGTGCAAGGTATGTTAAGACCCACTCTGTATCTACTCCAAATACAGAGAGATTTATGGAGATCACATGCATTAATCATTGTATCTACAAATTACAACATATACTTGAAACTAAAAAGCTACAAGTAAGCCCAGAGGGTGCTCTCTGCTCCGTATGCTACCACGTTATCCCCCATACAAAGTTTGCCTCCTATCTCTCACTCCACTCCACACTCACTGCAAGTCCCAGTTTAAAGAAAAAAAAAGCAGTAACTGATATCCACGAGCCAGAGCTGAAAGTTACAGGCAATTATGAAAAAATCTAAACAGCCTGAACTTTCTTTTACCCACTAGAGGAAGAGAAGTTCGCAGTCAGCTTCACAGTGTTCAGACTCTTCTCTCTGGACATCTTAGCAGACATTCAGTGCTACCAAACAGTCTACACAGCAAGCAGCTCCCTCTCCTTAGCTTCACCAGGGCTCTAGCTGCTAACCCCTAATCCTGTCTTCCTGGATTCACAGAGCAACAAAGAGAGAACACTTAACCCTACTCTGTAGCAGGAAGTGCAATACAACCAACCGGCAAGTTCCTGCAGGGAATTTAAACAGGGAATTTATGCCTGGAGTTCCCTCACTGCCCTGGGGTTTGTGGGTGGTAAGCAGATGGCAAAGTTCACAATGCCTAACATCATTTTGGTAGACTCAAATGGGCAAGTATTTTCTAGATTTTTTTTTTCCCAGTAATGGCACCGTAAATGTGCTGAAACCCTTCCTCAGACTGAAACCTGTCAGAACAAGCTGAGTTCTGTGACAATAAATCCTACAACACTCCCATGTAGTGTAATGGAAGGAACCATCAGTACGCTTTTCCTCCCTGCTTTTACCTAAAGGTAAAATGAATAGCCTTTGAAGTCATCTGAACCTTCTTTTCCAAAGATTTTCATGAAACTGAGTCAGAACCAGAGACAATGGTTCCCCACTTCCAAGCTGTGAAGGACCCCAACACCGTTTAGAGTCCTTAACTTTACAGATCCAAGTATTTCTTCAGGCTGGCAGGAAAAGCAAACGACGACACTCCCTGCAGCACTGGACTCATCCAGGATTGCTGGAAGGTTTGGGGATCACTGGCCTGTGGGCTAGAGCACTCAGTGTGGAGATTTTTATGTTTTCTATCACAGAGCTAGATACCTAAAGATAACCCCTGACAGCACAACAGAATGACACTTCCTTTTCTCAAGGCAGGACAAATTTTCAACACTGCATGCAATTACTTTCAAAATTTCAGAGAATACTGCAGGCACCAGCACAAAGCTCTCTCCATTTCGGTAAAAATAGGAAGGCACATACCATCCCTGCCATCTGTTTAACATACCCATCAGTTTTATACCATGTACAGTTGCATACTTGGAAGAAAAATCTGGCTGACAGAACTCCTGAACACTTTCTATCCTGACACCTAGCACCTCTGTACAAGCTCCTTTTGCTGGTGGGAGATTAAAAAAAAAAAAGAACACTACCAACACTGGCATAATGAATAACTTATATCCCAGGAAAAAAAAATATTACAGGAAGGAAAAAGCAAAACCTAACCCACCAAAAAACTCTTTCTGTTGGGAGAGAGTATTTATATGGACCCTTGGAGAGAGATGAAAAGAATGCACATAGGGGTGTGGAAGGAGATGGATGCGATAAGCTCTGCCTACTGAAACAACAAATCATGCAAACCTCTCTCTAATACACATCTGAAAAAGAAAGCTGGAAGAGGATTAGAAGTTATATGCATTAACATACATGAAGGAGGAAAACCATGACACATATTGTACCTCATCCCATGCAATGACTCATCTGTCTGCAGAACACATTTCTGGAAGTTCATACTGGAACTATTTTGGATGCATACAGGCACATGGAAAGAAAAGCACAGACCCTTATTTCTACACCCTTATTTGTCCCATGGACAGTTACAAAGACTGGCAGCTTCATAAAACCATAAGGGCACCAACGAAGCAGTTTTTCCAAATCCTACTGACTTTGGTAGGCTGGTGAAGAAATACACAGACTCATTCACCTGCATCATTGAGCCACTTTTCCAGAAGTGGCTTTAACTTGCACATGTTCTTAAAGCTGAGGTTCAAGGCTTCAAAGCGAGAGATGGTAGTTTGGCTGAAGTCATTTCCATAGAGTTTGCCCATAGCGAGCCCAACATCACCCTGGACAAAGAAAGAGAAAAAAGGGATTCACTGACATAGGCACTTCCAAAGCAAGGAATCCTGTCACATTCTTGTGTTCTCTTAGTGACTCCACTGCTGTGTGGGATTTCAGTTGCACAGAAGCTTTCTCAGTGCTACCAAGATTCATGCTAAAGCAATAATCATAGAGAAATGTCAAACCTCAGTCACTTTAACCATGTAACTCTTTCCAGGAAATCCCTGATGCTTTGTCTTCTTAGCATTATCACTGAGCAGCACATTCCACTGAATATTAACTTGTGATTTTTTTCTTAGTTCTTTAAAATAATAAAAAAAAAATGGCCAAGCTCTCTTTAGGAGTAGATTTAAGTTTCTGCATATTTCACACAGAAGAAAAAAAGTTCAATTAATCAGAAATGCAGTGAATTCATATTGTCAAATTGCTAGAAAACACTTTTGAAAAGATGTCTGCAAACACATATCACAGTTAAACAGATGCAGAAATATTCTTATCTGAACTTTTAGTATCTTCTGAGGTTCAAGTCAAACTTCTCCCCAACAGATACATATTTCAAAGCAGATAAGAAGTTGAACCATTTCAAATAATGATTAACTGTAGTCTTGACTATCATTACCCATCTGCCAAAAAGCTATCCAGGAGATTTACAGACAGATGCTCACCTCTTCATATCTGTTATTGCTTTTCAAAACTCAGTTTTATGAGACATTCTGCTTATCTTAATATCTATCTATCTAGCTAGCTACGTAGTATATACTTTGAAAGTTTTGTTTAAAAGAAAAAATCAATCTGTTCTTGACTGTGGCCATTAAAAACACCATAGCATTTTCTTGCTTTGTTTTAAAGTTGGAAGGTCCTGCCCTTCAAAAAAAACTGTATTTATACTTCAAGTACACTGTTTGATCTAAAGTAGTTTTACTTAGATTTTTATTTTTTAGCACACAAAAAAAAGTACGGGAAGTCTAGAAGAAGAGATTGAAAAGCTTGAGCATTTCGTTAGTGGAGTTTAATTGCAAATAGGTTAGTTGGGTTGTGCATAAAGCTTGCCTTTCTTTTAGGTCAGATCCACACCCACAGTTTGGTGTGAGTACACTAACAGCATGCAGAGTGGCCACACACAAGTGAGGAAGAAAACAACCTTCGATAAGCTTCGTAAATTGTGCAGGTTGTGCAAAGAAAACAATTTCCTTCCTAGAAGAGGACCAGAACAATTGGTTTGTGTGCCCTTCAATCAGAGGAAACACGTGGGAATTCACATTTATACCTCTACTTATATGCCAGGATTCTGTGCATTTTAAAACTCATAAATCATTCCAAGAAGAGTAACGTGGATGCTCTGCTGGGTTTATGAAGAAGAAAACCTGGCTATGTAAACCATTTTAGAGATAAGTTGATTTATGTCTTGGCAGGAAAGAGTTATGAAATTTGCTCCAGTCTCCCAACTAAATTTAATTCTGGTATTTATGTTGTTCTTACTAACATTTGCCATCTGATTTAAAATGAATAGTTAGCCATTTCTTTGTCAATGCCAAAAGGTGGCAGCATTTCAGCTGTAGGCAAAGGAATTTCCATATAGGGATGAGAATTTTATATATTGGGAAGGACCACTGAAAGGATGGACTGAACAGAGTATAAAGGCACTGTACACACATCTGATCTACTCTGCATGTTGAATGAAGCTCTGGTAATGATCTGCAACTGATTATAAGATACATCATTGTTGTGTGTACTGGTCTGTTAAGAAGCTCAGATGGACTAGCAGAGGTAATATCTTTTACAGAATAAAAATAACATTGTCTAAAAAGTACACTCACGTAGCTTGAATTAGACCAAGCAATTAGTCACAGGCCTGCAATCATGCTAAGATGCAGTATGTTCATTGTGTCTCTGTATGTCAAACATGGAGATATTTTTGAGGGAAACAAACAGAAGGATTTAAATCCATCACCCACTTTTCAGGGTGGGAGAAGAGACAGAACTGCTGAAATTCAAAACGGGTTATATTGTTCACGGCAGAATGTAGTAAGTGATTAGTTTGCAATGCAAACTAAATCTTACAATTATTTTTGAGATGCAGGGGTGGCATGAATCTGAAAAAGCTTGCACTGCCACTGGAAATAAATTTCTTTTATCCTCTGAAAGGCAGTCTATTTATCCAACTATAGGAAACCAAAGTAATCAGGGTCTCTAATTATCATCCAATTATGCAATTAGGTAGAAGTTATTAGAACAGCCTAATTACACACATACCAACTCAGAGTAGGATAGGAATGACCAAATGCAATTTTAGCACATTCTCAAGATTCCCCTTTTTTAATCTCAAAAGCAAATACTGAAACGTAAGCCTGAGCAGTTGTGTTCGTTTTTCCTCACAACAAGGTCAATAAAGAAGGGTTAAGATACAACTTAAAAAGTCCAGTTGAGCCTTTATAATCATCTCACAGGAGGGCAGATTAAACATAATAACGAGAGATCTACATGAACCTCCTCAGTCAGGCTATGGGAAAGCTATTGTATTTTACTCTATTCTGTTCTGCTCTATTCGGGCTTTTGTGTGTGTCCATCACTTGTATTTCTGTGCCTCCCTCTAGTGGAAAGAACGGAGGGAAGGAGGCACACACGCCAGCAAAATGCACTTCATTTGACTAAGAACATTCTGTTCTTGAGTTATAATTAAGATGCTGCCAGGAACTTTCATTATGAACTTTGATTTTTCAAACATTTAAGACTTTGCCAGAAAAATAAATCTGACTTCAGCACATACTTTCAGCTAGAGCAGATATATTCTGGGGGGAGAACAAATCACGTATGTTGGACTGACTGCTCTGAGCTCAGACTTTTAAATGCTTTGATTTTTGCATACTCTTTCTTCTAAGCAAAAACATGCTTATGCTTAACCACAGAACCCTGCCAAAATTAACTGTTTACCTGGACAGATATTTTAATTTTGCAGGGGGAAAAAGCTCATTTTGATATTAATAAGAAAGGACTCCTGGATTCAAGCAGCTTTTCCCTTCAACAGAATAACAGAACATATAAATGTACTTTGTAGTTTTAATTGTGCTCTCCATTCAACCATTTTCACTAGGTTCAAGATTACTTTTCTTCTGCTCTATGGGTATTTCTGAGCTTTTAAACAAACGAAAACAAACCACAACTCCAGTTCACCTCTGTAAGGAGAAAACTTCAAAGGTGACAGTCCTTTCAGGTTTTGTTTAGGAACCTTAGCAGAAGCATTAAATACAGAAATCATTGATGTTTAATAGGAAAATACACTTGAGAGATAAAAACCCTTTGATATCCAAAGCAACTGCACAGATGTGATACACTTTTTAAACACACAGAGCAGTTAATTGTGCTGTATGATTTTTGGAACTTTGTACTTCTGAAGGCAGCTTTAAAGTGCTTTGTCCCATTCATGTCACATCCTATAGAATGAATAGTGCACATGCAATGACATCTGGAGCTGGTAAATGCACGTTTTCCCCTGCTGGGAAAATGGCTATGCTTTAAAACCAACAGGGAAGTAAGACGGATGTATGGCTTTTTCTGTTATTTCTTAGAAATCCCCTACATAAAGGCCAGAGCATAACCCTATTTAAGCAAGTTCTCCTAGGAAAAGATGGAATTGCAGTCTCCCTCCAGACTTGAAAGATGAGACCTCGGGTTCCACACTGGCAGGCACTAAGGTACGCAGTCTCACCTGAGTGAATCCAAGTTTGATCCGTCTTTGTTTGAAAGTCTTGGCAAACTGCTCAAGCTCCTCAAGGTCACTGGGCTCCTCCAAGCTGGGAGTGTCGATTCGCTTTGGTGTTGACTGGCTCTGTGGAAGTGGCTGAATGGGGGTCGCTGCTATTGTGCGTGTTGGGGTTGCTGGCTATTAGGACAGCAAGGAGGAGATGAAAATGAGACTTAAAAAAAAAAATAATCGACCAAAATTAAATTTAAAAAAAAAAAAAAAAAAAAAAAGGTCTTTCTCTGGTGAGAAAGATCGATGAATTGGACATTTCCTGCGATCTGAAAGTTCCTCCAGTTTATTTACATTCCTCTCCAGAACGAGCAATCACAATCCAGAAAACTCTATTAGTATGACAGCCTTTTAAAGGCTCTGTCATAACCAATTAAAGAAGAGATGTTCAATGATAACCTACAACTTTCATTTGCTGTAGAAGCTGTTCAAAGAAAGGCTGAACACTCTTACTTGATATATTTCTAACATTTATAGACAGCTTGGCATTCATCCCTTTTTAATCATTTTAAAATTGAATTTACTGCTTGTGTGAGGTGGCAGATTGTCATCAGCCCAAAAGATTCAAGTCTCCTGTTTAATCCTGGAAGAGTGAGCACACACAGGTGCAGCAAACATGCCAAGTTTCTTCTAATTCCATCTCTTGTGACTTTTCCAGGAAGTCCACAAGAGATTCACTATTCCTGAACATGGGCATACCAGAGCATTTTGCTATGCAACAACAGTAAGTATCTGAAAAGAAATGAGCACCGTGGAAAATAGTAACAGGTGAACAAAATATCTGGTATTGCACAGTTCAGGCTTTATGTGCAACAGGAACACTGGAAACGTGTTTTGAATGCATAACTCTACCTTGATGAACTGAGATGCAGAGACAAATCATTTGCTCTGGTTGAAGTCTATTCAGTTTAGCTGAGGCTCCTCAGTAAAGGTGATTTCATGCTTTTTTTATGTCCTATGCCCAGCTCTGAAACTACAGACTCCTTCAGGCCAAATAAGAACAGTCTCAGGTCTGTGCAGCACTACGGTATCATGCAAAGGTACAGAAAAGGCTCTTCTCCAAGAAATGGCCTACACAGAGCTGAGTCTTTATGTTGCCCGTTATGTTGTTTTTCTCCTGGGTTACTGCAGTGTTTTGCAGTGCACAGCAGATGGTAGAGGGAGGTCAAGATCTATAATTCCATTACTTGAGAAATAACGTAATCATATATGATCTTTCTAGGATTGCAGGTACATGTGTCCCACTTAAAGGTTTTTAATATTTCTTTAATTTACACTAATCATAGTGGGTAATTACTGCAATATGTCTTTACTGATTTCACCCACATTACGTAATTTATTTTTTATTAGTATTTTAACATTTTTTTAAAACCCAACTGTAATTTTTAGTGAGGGATCATGCTGCTACCTGAGGTATGAACAACAGAGGTGAGACAAATTCCATTCTCCATATGGTACATGAAAACTACTACAGGTGGTATAATAGAAAATGTAGTTTTCTAAGACTCAGGTACATTATTGCAGACTAGAAAATTCTTATATGTAACCAAGTTGGCAGGAAGATACCATATGATATAACATGGTATTTGAGAAACAGCATGCAGTCATGAAACTAAACTGCACAGTAAAACCCAGAGGGAAGCACAACTAAATTTATAGACATGTGCAACCTTAAATTGCTTTTCTTACAGTCTGAAAGCTTAACCGTAGAGCTCTAATATTTTAATAGATATCAGAATATTTTAATATTTTATTTCTAACAATCTCTTCACTTCCACAGATGGTAACTGGTAAGACTGGCAATGACTTAGCAATGATATCACAATAACTACATTATAATAAAGGTAGATCATCACTGCAATCTTCAGAAAAGTACTTATCAGTAATCCTCTTTTTGAGCTTTTTAGGTAGCCCACACCCTGCTGCTCTGAATTTCATAAATTTGTAAATTATCCAAGAAAATCTTACAGGAAGTCAAACAATGCTCTAGTGCCATTAACTCAAGCTATCAATCCTGAAAATTTCCAGCTAAAAATAAAAATTTAGAACACTAAAGCCTGAACACACAGGCACATTGGGGTGGGAACCATAAAACTGAACTATTTAGAAAGACAAATTTACTGTTATAGCTACAACATCTATTCAGGTAACTAATACAAAGGGTCCATTCACTTGGCATAGTTTAAATCCCCTCAAAGCAACTCATGAACTGTAGAAATAAGCCTGACCTGCGAGGCAAGGGTGATGCTTGGCTGAGACTGCAGGAGGTTGGCTTGGCTTTGCTGAGGTAGTTGCGTTAAGAGATTCTGCGCTTGCAGGAGACCTGGCGAGAGAAAAGTGTGGGTTTGGTTCGTCATTTGAAAAGATTAAAACACGAAACGAGGTGAAACAAGGCTCTTGCTGAATGATGAAAAGTTAGACAAAAATTCGAGATGCAAGCTTTCATTTCATCCCTGCACGGGTATCTTCAGACTTTGGACTTGGCAGCCAAAATCCCCTTGCATTTTCCTGAACCCTTGCATTTTCCTGAACTCTTGCATTTTCTTACCCTTCTGTGGTGACAGAAGGGTAAGAGAGAGAAGTCTGGACTGGTCTCCTCTGCAGGAAGAGTTTGTAATGCTCTAGGTTATCCCAGTTCCATGTGCAGGAATTATTTGTTGCCCCTTTCAGCATGCAGATTTTGGATACGCCTCTTCTGATAACCAACAGCTGACAAAGAATTACAGGGCCATATAAAAATACTGAGCACTAATCAGATCAAATTCAACAACTGAATACTAATCAAAGCCACAAATTTGGCTTCTTGATCAACCTCCTTCCTCTGTGTATGACCCTATGCCAGCTGCCTAACAAGAAGGAAACTTCCTCTGGCAAACTTAAGCAGACCACACCAGAAGACACAACAAGCCTAGATAACTCTCTCCTGGGTCCAATAAAGTAAGCATTTTTGGGAAAAGTAATTGGAATTTAAGTCCAGGTAAGACACTGAACACAGCTTGATTTGAACAGACACTGAACACAGCTCGATTTGAACAAACAGAACATAAACACTACACTGAATATATGAAAACCCTGCTACTACTGAAAAGTGACAACATTAAAGAACAGTTGCAACTGGTCGAATCAATATACACAATATGCTGTCAATCTAAAAATAAATTCTCTAGCAGTCCACTATTTGCATAGTCTATTAAATTTCTGAGGAAATTAAGATACATGCTTGCATCTATATATTTTAACTAAAATCCGTATGATTTTTTTCATTTTTAATACAAAAATGTATATATTTTTAAGGGATAGAATCTTGACAAAAATATATCTACAGTTAGTCAAGTCCCTCAATTCTATTGTGAAAAATACTAACTGTTATTTTTTACGTAACTCCTGGCTATGACTATCAATTTCCATTATCATAATTTAAGGACCTGACTAATTAAACTTACACTTCATAGGCACCTTCAATATAACAACTTCCCAAAACCAGGGGAGAACAGACTGATGCTGCGCCACTCAGAGGACAGAACACCAACTAAGTGCCACTTAAATTCAACATCATCATCTGCCTGATCTACCTCTTAGCAGAAAATAGGTAGGGGACACGGGAATTTAGGACTTGATAAATAGTGAGAAACTTGATGTTTTATGCAAGGTTAAGGGCATAGAAGACATGAAAAGAGGGACTACCATGGATAGGAAGGAGAAAATGAATCCTCAGTAAGGGATACACAACTACAGAAGCATTGTCTTCTGACAGTGATACTTGTTTTTTGTTTAACAAAGAGTTGAAAATGTAATTTAAACAGAATGTGTTGCTATCAAAATGCTCAAGACCTAGTGAATACAGCCAGCTGGTTATGCAACATAATAGCACAGCACAGACAACTATGTAAATTTGCTTTGCACCACATAATCAACATGTTCCAGCTGTGTTTTTGAAATGCCACAGCGAGGGAACAGAGTTGCTTAAGGAACTTCCAAGACAGCTACCTACTACAGTTACACGGTGCTTTGTACAACGCAATTATTTGTTCACCTAAAAGATTATTTTAGCTGCCCGAATCTAAAATACCAATTAGTGAACAGTCACCTCTAAGTGAAGAGGTTTTGACCTTCATTCAGAGACAGTGAATTTTAACTGACAGCTTGAAACAAAGAGGCAAACCCATCACACCCACACTGCAGGGTCTGACCAACAACGAGACAAAACCCAGGCAGCTGACAGGGACCACACCTGAGCTCTAGTCCATCAGTTACAAGTTACTGACCTGTCCTACGACTGCAATCAGAGTAATTAGGGCTGTCCTTTTGTGATTTTTTGTCTTTGAAGAAATCCCAGAGGATGTTTTTCTGGCAATAACACTTTTGCTAAAGAGCACAGAATAACTACGCTCTTCCTAATTTTATTCTCACTCACACATTCTGAAGTAATCACCACAAAATGACAGTATAAAACAATCTGAACATGTTCAATCTACTTTGTTTTAACATCATTTCACCCTACTTAAGACATACTGATACAAGGTGTCTCAGGCAGAAACCGGAGACAGAACAAGTTAGTTCAACCTGACTAAAGCAACAATCAGGGGATGGGGAAAGCAGCTGAACTGTTTTGGCAAAGTATGTGTCTCTTCTCCTGATTACAGCCTTTTCAGGCAGTTGCCACGCCCACACTTTGGGTACTTGTTGGCTTTCTTGGGTGGGCAGCTGCAGTTTCACTCCTTTCAGACGTGACCTGAACTGGTCTAAGCTTTGCCTTCATTTCTTCTCTAAGAAGAAACCACTGGTCCCCACTGTGGTCTGAGATAACTTTGGTGAGCTAACTTACAGGGCACAGCCTTTTACATCCACTGTAAGTCCAGTGCCACCTTTTAGGCACCTGCTGAGATGTTGTTTGAAACTGCTGTTTCAAACAACGCTGTTTCCTTAGGGACTCATATTGGAATGATCTGCTCTGTTTAGTGGCAGAGCTTACGGAAGAAGTGGAAAGGCTAAGGAGTATTGGGGAGAGTGAAATGGAAATGGATGGAGTTACACCCTTCCAACCCTGAGAGAAGCTCAGAAGGAGTTAGAGAAGGCTCGCTCCTCTTGCTTTCAGGCAGAAAGAGGAGGTGTAGTAGATGGGGGGAATGGAAAAGGGTCTCTGCTCAGAGAGTAAAAGAATCCCCTCCCAACCACCCATCGCCCTCCCAGGAGCCTTTACAGAATAGGTACAAGGCCCTGGATTTAGAGGGTCAGGCAGATGACATTAGAAAAAAAAAAAAAATCCATCTGGAGGGTCTCCCAGTTGTGCTCTGTCTATCAGCCAGATCACAACCTCAGGTATTAAGAAAAGAAGGGTAGTGGTAGTAGGTGACTCCCTTCTGAGGGGAACTGTGTGCCAACTGGAACCACCCCACAGGGAAGTCTGCTGCCTCCCTGGGGCTTATGTAAGGGATATCAGTTGGCTGAGGGGACAGGAGCACAGGTGGGGTTCTGGTCAGTTCCTTCAGTAGCAGGGATGAATGATGAAAGGAACAGGAAAACCCAGGTTATCAGTAAGTGGCTGTGGAGTTAGTCCTGGATCTGGACTTCAGCAAAGCCTTTGACACCATCTCCCACAGCATTCTCTTGGAAAAGCTGGCAGCCCACGGTTTGGACAGGGGCACCCTGTGCTGGGTTAGGAACCGGCCGATGGCCGGGCCCAGAGAGTGGTGGGGAACGGGGCTGCATCCAGTTGGGATCCGGTCACTAGTGGTGTCCCCCAGGGATCAGTGCTGGGCCCAGTCCTATTTAATGTCTTTACTGATGATCTGGATGAGGGCACTGAGTCCACCATTAGCAAATTTGCAGATGACATCAAGTTGGGGTGAGGGGGATGTCGATCTGCTGGAAGGCAGGAGGGCTCTGCAGAGGGACCTGGACAGACTGGATAGATGGGCTGAATCCAACAGTATAGGGCTGAACAAGGCCAAGTGCTGGGTCCTGCACTTTGGCCACAACAACCCCCTGCAGCACTACAGGCTGGGGACAGAATGGCTGGAGAGCAGCCAGGCAGGAAGGGACCTGGGAGCTGGGATTGACAGGAAGCTGAACATGAGCCAGCAGTGTGCCCAGGTGGGCAAGAAGGCCAATGGATCCTGTCCTGGATCAGGAACAGTGTGGCAGCAGGACCAGGGAAGTGATTCTGCCCCTGTACTCATCGCTGGTGAGGCCACACCTCAAGTGCTGATCCAGCTCTGCGCCCTTCAATTCAGAAAGGACACTGAGGTGCCGGAGCAGGTCCAGAGAAGGACAACGAGGCTGGGGAAGGGACTGGAGCACAAGTCCTGTGAGGAGAGGCTGAGGGAGGTGGGGCTGTTCAGCCTGGAGAAGAGAAGGCTCAGGGGAAACCTCCTCACTCTCTACAACTCCCTGACAGGAGGCTGTAGCCAGGTAGGGGTCGGTCTCTTCTCCCAGGTAAGAAGCAATAGGACAAGAGGGTCTTAAGCTGCATCAGGGGAGGTTTAGGTTGGACATTAGGAAGAATTTCTTCACAGGAAGGGTGATTAGACATTGGAACGGGCTGCCCAGGGAGATGGTGGAGTCACTGTCCCTGGAGGTGAGGAAGAGACTGGATGTGGCATTTGGTGCCATAATCTAGTTGACAAGGTGGTGTTCAGTCACAGGTCGGACTCAATGATCCTAGAGGACTTTTCCAACATAACTGGTGCTGTGATTCGGTAACATCTTTATTACCAGTAAGGCTGATGGGACAAAATGTATTCTCAGCAAGTTTGTGGACAATACCAAATATGGGGAAAGCGGTCAACAGGCCAGAAGGCAGGGTCTAGACTGGCTGGACAAATGGAACCTCATGAAGGTTGATGCAGGAAATGTTATTTGGGGTTCTTTTTTTACCATGAGAGCAGTCAGCTGTTGGGACAGGTACTTGAAAATGCTGCAGAAACTCCACCCTTGGACATGTTCAATTCAACTGTCTGAGGTGCTGAGCACTCTGCTGTAATTGGACCTGCTTTGAGCAACACTTCATGACCTTTGGAGGTCCCTTCCAGCCCACATGATTTGTTTGAATCTGTAAAAGCTGATAGTGTACTTGCATACTTTACAGAGGTCATATTTCTAACCCTCTGCCCTGGGTTTTAAGAGCCCAGTGGTATTACTGCATTAAATATGGCATACAAATTACCAGTGTGACACTCTGAAAGAATGAGGTAAAGATCTATGCAAAAGTATGACAGTTTAGAGGTATTTTATTTTTTTTTAATAGTTAAAGTAAATGCATCTACCATCATGCAGGATTTTTCCTGTAATGTCTATGAGTAGCATGAAAAATGGTCCAAGCCAAAAAACTCTTCCTGCCAGCCAACAGTCCCCAAGGACTGATCTGGGGTTCAGTTCTTATTATCTAAAATTAAACAAAAGATAAAACAAACATTCAAGTGCAGACTTTTTCAGAATACTTTTTAGAAAGTTGGCCCAGAAGCATAATACATAATTCATTCCTAAATGATCTCCCTAAAGAGTGAATTTTTTCATCTAAGAACTTGACTGCTTTGTCTCTGCCAAAGCTGCTGTTCTTCTCACAGACACATCCTGGAAGTCAGGCTTGCAAGACAAAGCCATTACAACAGCTTTCACATAAGTGAAGCCTCAAAGTGTGTAGGACACGTAGGGAAAAAAGAGAACAAGGACTGAATTTGGCCTGCTATCATTATCCCAAGTAACCTCACAACAAAAAAATGAAATCATAAACAAGGCTTTTAATAATAAACGGCAATAACTTTAGAATAGGTAAGGGCAGTTTCAGTGTTTAAAGGGAATTAGTAGCTTGTCTTCCACATTTGCCTTTCTGGATATTTTCTTCATAAGTACTGTTTCTAAATCTCCTTGACAATGATACAGTATTTTCTTAGATCTTAACAACTTCTGTTTCCAAGATTAATTTATATTAAATGCAGCACCAATTCCCTCTCCATTCAGATTTTTACTGATATGATTTTTATTGGCAACATCTCCCGAGTAGAAAGGTGAACAGTCACCTGATGAGGGTAATATTTCTAAGAAGCAGCTGTAATTGTAGTAAGGGATGTTGAATTGATTGTTCTAGAGACAGATCTATTAGATACAAGAACAGATACAAGAGGTATAAAGACATTACAGTCACTGCCTGTGACTTCACCAATAATTTGGACAACGGTAGCTCTGAATAAGAAATTGCTCCAAATTTCTATTTCCATTCAATCTTCTGCATAACTGCTGAGGCTTGAAACCATTCCTTCAGTTACGATGTTACCAATTACCAGCCATGGAAAATGAGAACTTGTAAATTCGTTTCATATAAGCCACTAAATAGCCAGAAATCATCTGGAAAAGGAAGGTGACTATGTCGGACACATGGCAGTGGATTTATGGAGAAAATTTCGTATCTGTTGCTGGGTGCTGTAATGTGTGTGTTAAAGAAAGACAGGAGAATTGATTAATATTTGAGGCGTTGAATTTTCTAAAATTTTTCTAAAGTTTCTAAACTTTTCTAAATTTTTCTAAAATTTTTCAGAAGTTCGATGTAGGGTCATGAAGTTCAACCCCTTCAAGAATCTACATATGATTGCTGATGATTTTTATTTCTCTGCACCCCATCACCTCTTCAAGTAACAAATTTTTCTTCACCAAATGTCTACGTGTCTTCTAAAATCTTGTTTAGTGATATTGTTCTTTAGTTATTTCCCTCAAAACTCTTCTCACTTTAAAAACATTTATATGACTACATGGCACACACAAAACAAGTAGCATAGTCTGTAAAGCAATAAATTTCTTCCAGAATATATAATCTATACATAAAAATCTGAATTTTCATGTTAGTTATTAAATGCATACATATTTATAAAGCTCCATGCAGTACCAATGAGGCATCAAAAGAAATCTGAATGCCTTTGGTTTTAAAGAAAACTCTATGCTAGTTTCCTCAGAATATTTATTATTTTATGAAGTTGACTAATGGAGCAATAGGACAAGAACAACCTGGAAAAGTCAGCTGCAACAGCAAACAACAAAGTAAAACCACACACTTTCTCAATCTTTCTCATAAATAGTAATGTACAGTTTGAGATCTTCGAATAATAACTGTGAAATACTGCAAAAAAGCCATATCAAAAAGTGATATGAGGGGTATTATGGCACACATGTTGCTTTATCATTGAGTGCTCATGAAGAAAATGAGATCCATTCAAGCATTTCAGTTTGGAAGGTTGTCACGCACTAATGACCTATGGTCAGAATCCAGCACATAAATCTCCCCACGTTTTTGAGCTATTCAGTTGTCCAGGCTGCACATTACCAGTAAAACACAACGTTTCTACACACACTGAGTCACTGGATGACAGCAATATGCAAGTCTTATATTGCAGTGAAGAATTAATTTTACAGATGGCCCCTGAAAAAAGGTACTATGAAAACCTCCTCTAGCAGTTAATTCTACTTCAGGAGATTTTAAACAAACAGAAAAGCCTCCCTTCCTTTCTATAATGCAAACAACTCATTTTGGGAAATGAATACAAATTTGCTTCTCTTAGTTTTCCCTTTTTCTGAGGCATCTTCAGAGGTATTTTAGAAAATCAGCAGATTTTTGCTAAAAATATAGGCAGACCTTAATACCAATGAGTTTCTCAATACAATGCTTTTGTGCCTGCTGTTTCATTAAAAGAATTTATTTTTTAAAAAAACGCTGTTTTAAAGAATCCTTGAACTACATTTTGGTAGTTTGATTTCTTCTAGAACAATATGTTAAGTCTATAAGTTCTGCTTCATTTTAAGAAAACAGAATATCCCTAAATGCTTCCATGAACAGCCTTTTAGCCATTTTCTACCAGTACCGGTATAAAATCTCTCCTAAATCAAGTCCTATTAAAAGGAAGTTAATTTTGACTAACCCTTTATTCAAATGTGAGAGCATTCAGACAGCAAGAGCGCTTCAGCATAATGGAAAGCCAGGTTCTATCCAAGTCAGAGTATGTAAGAAGGAATGATGCATGAAAAAATTGAAAGGAACAGAAGAAAATGAGGTGCAAAGAGCTGCTTTACAGGACAGCCAGGCTCTGGAGGACTCTTCAAGCATAACAGGATTTGCCTTCTGAGCAAGAATCTTTGGATTACCAGACCTGAACAACTGAGTAGAGTTCATGTAGAACAGAGAGGAGGAAAAAAAAAAGACTACTGGAGTATATCAGCATAAGAGGCCATGGCTAAACACAGTTTTCCATGGGCAGCAACAAATGGGGCTGCAATCAGTACCGTGATGCATTGCAGCTTGGGAACACGTTAGTTCTTACAGCAAAGCTGCTGTACAACATCTTAACTGGTCTGGCACACTGCCACCTCCCACTGCCCTGGTTTGTCTTTGGCACGTAAGTCATACCCAGTACATTGTCAAAATATTATTACTATGAGAGCTGTTACACAAATCAAGCATTCTAGCTCTTTTCCCAAGGCGTAATTATTATTTCAGTTTATGACAAAATTCACTGTACCTGCTTTAGGCTTAAGTACTTTTCTACTCTCCCACAAGAACTTTTGATTCTGTAATCTTTTTCCTGTCTCTCCTGGTTTTGACCGGGATAGAGTTAATTTTCTGTCACTGGTATAGTGCTGTGGTTTGGATTTAGGATGAGAACGATGTTGATGACATGCTGATGTTTTAGTTGCTGCTGAGCATCACGGACTCAAGGACTTTTCAGCCTCTCATACCACCCCACCAGCAAAGAGGCCGTGAGCCACAAGAATCTGGGAGAAGACAGAACCAGGACTGCTGACCCAAACTGCCCGAGGGATATTCCACACCCTGTGGTCTCGTGCTCAGTTTATAAGCTAAAGAGGGGAAAGCTGGCTGGGAACTGGCTGGACATTGGGCAGTGGGTGGTGAGGAGCTGCACCGCGCATCACTTTTTTTGTATCTCTTATTTTGTAGCCCTTTGAGCATTGACCTAATCCAGACAGCCAAGGCACCCTCCAGGCCTCCACCTCATAGGATTCTGCCTTTGAGTTCTGAAGAGTTGTCTTCTCCAACTTCTCTTCCCAGTAGTCTTGTTTTTTGAGAACCTAACCCAAAAATTCAGATGCTGCATTGTTTTCCAAGAAGCCTTGTTGTTAACAAATGTTCCCATGACACTCTCCCTGGATTGGTCCCCCCTGAGAAGTGAGCTACACAAATTTTGACAAGGCTGAGGTCTAACACCAACAAAGGGACAACCTGTTAGAATTCCCTAATTGCAATGCTGTTTTTCTCCTAGGGATTATCAACAGTTAGTGAAGGTGTATGAACCACCTCAGTTTCACCTTATCCTCTAAAAAAGCACTGCATGATTTGCTTTTCTGGCATGAAGCACTTACCCTGCTGCCCCTGCGGTGTTTGTGAGATGATGAACTGTGCTGGCTGCAAGTTGGTTGTTGGATGCACCAACACAAACTGTTGCAGGTTGAGATTCTGCTGCTGAAGCTGCTGCAAGTGCTGCAAATCCTTAAGGAAACAGGAGAAGAGAAAAAAAAAAAAGGAGAGAGAAGAAAAGAAAAAAAAAGAAAAAAAGAGAGAAAAAAGAAAAAAAAAAAACGAGGGAAAAAAAAAAAAGAAAAAAAAAAAGAAAAAAAAAAGAAAAGAAAGAGCTGTGTGTTAGACATTTAGGTCAGCCATGACTCCCAATGTAACTCGATTTTCTATCAGCCAGTTACACTCCAACATTTAGAGATAAAAGTGGATGTCAAACACAGCAGCAGTCCTGCTACTGAATATCCTTTAGAAGGGCAATTTGAATTGCACTGTCGTTCATAAAACCAAACAAAAGTTATTTAGTAAATAACCCAGCAAAGTATTTCTAGCACTGTTCTGCTTTAAAAACAAAGCAAAACAAAACCAAATAAACAAACAAATCAATCTCCCTCCCATCCCCACCAAATGCAGGAGTTTTCAAATACTTCAGTTTTATCAGCACTCAGACTTCTCAAATTTATTTTTTTGAGGATGGAACTCTGCTACAAATCGAGCATATTAGCTGGGAGCTATTTTTGTTTATAACAACAATCTGCAATTACCATTTGAATCAACAACAAGAAAGCAAAATATTACAGATTCCTTATTTGCAGGCTGATTGTTCAGGTCAAATTTCAGAAAGTAGCTAACTCAATAAATAAATAAATATATTTGATTAGTTCTGAAACAAATTACAATAAGCCTAATAGATATGACTATAATTAAAGGTTAAAAGGAATAATCCAAATCACTGCTTTATTGTAGAACCCTACTTTTATGTATTTAAACCATTCAGAACTGTTAATTTTCTGTAATTAAATGACTGGTCTCAACATAAAATGCTAATCTCTGAGAAACTGGATTTTCAAGAAAAATGCTTCAACCTGACATTTAGCTGGAGAATGAAAACATAAAGAACTGTTCAAAAATATTGCTCCCCCCAATAGCCTTTCTCTTTTCATCTTCTCCAAACAGGACAATAACAAGAGTAACTGAAATTGAGAACTGAAGCACATTGTGAAGTCGGCCAACATAATAGTGGTAATCCATGAAAACTATCTATACACGTAGAATTTTTCCATCTTTCTGAGAAGAAGCTGTTTCAAAATACTCACCAAGCAAATATTTTCCATACTTGCAACCTCCCACTGAAAAAAACCAAACCAAACTCCCACTGAACAAGCCAAACCAACCGACCAAACAAGAAGACTAAAGTGTCACTTTATTTTAAATCTGTTAAACTATAGCTTCAAAGTTGCAGAAATCTCCTTTTGGGGATGAAGGGTAGGGAGTGTCAGTGGGTGGAAAGGAAGACTAGGGAGGAAAAAAAAAAAGAGAGTCCATTGATTTATGAGACCATAGACATGCATTATAGGAAAACGACTACTTAACCTGCATTACACAGACACTGGCCATCAATCACTTGGGCAACTTAGTTGTGTTAAGTCAAGAGCGTGCAGTGTAATAATATGGCAGACAGACACCAGATGGATTGGCCAAGCAATGCTCTTAAGAAAAGGAAACTTCCATCTTATAAGAGAATGGTAAAATTTTAAGAAGTGCCCACGAGCGCAACAAAGTGTTTTCAAAGTCAACGGTATTGTTTGCTTTCAGAAAATTTCATTAGTAATACAACTATTCCTATGAAACTGAGGCCAATTTCCCTCTTAAAAAGAGAGAAATAACTGCTCCAGTTTTTCCCTGGAACTCCATATTTCTTCTGCCTTCGTGTCATAACATCACAATGGTCAGCACCGCTAACAAAAACTGCTACTTCCTGAGCCCAACACAACATGGGCCTCCACTCATTTATTCATCGATTTTCAGTGCTTGACTGGTTACCTCTGCAGGTTGTGCCGACCCTCCAGCACAGAGGGGCTCACACCAAATCAGATGCCAGGACTGGATGCAGAGTTAAAAGCAGAAATGAAAAGAGTAGGGCAAGCTGACTAAGGGTGTGAACACTGGGTGGAAGAAAAGGAAATAAAGAGAGGCTGCAGGGTGAAAACAGAGGTAGATAAAAGTACAAACACAAAAGGAGGAGTTGGGAAGAAACTGTGGAAGGAAGAAGTATCAACAGAAAAACAGACAGGTGGAGGACCTCTCCCACCAAAAGCAAGATGACCAAGTAGATCTCAGATGATTTGAAGCACCACCACAGGAGACGGAGTTATGTAGAAGAAAGAATACAAAGAAACAGTGGCAGTGTATCTGTAAGATCAAAGGAGGAGAGCTTTTTGTTTAAGACTATTGTATTCATAACACCGCCTACCCAGCTAAGACATGACAGCTCTTATCATCAGGCTCTTACACTTTAATATGAGAAAACTGTTTTTAAATTGAGGCCTCAGGGATAACTGGTATAAGCAATCTTATTCTGTGCATCTGCCCTGGTAACTGGTGTGTTGGCTAAGTCTTGTTTAAATACAAAAATATAATTCTGTAACGCAAAATGAAAATGATACCTCCAAGGCTAATCACACTTAAATAGCCCTACCAGCCCCTCAAATTCATTTGAAATCCAACTTTATTTCTACCTTGGGAAAGTTTTATTATTTAGTTAATTATACCACTACAGTAAATCTCCCAATAGCAACCACATGAACAAACTTGACACTATTTTCCTATACCGATCTTTTTTCCCCTCAGTGTTAAAACCCCTGTGCAAGCATAAGCACACAGAAAGAGATGGAAAGACTTTCAGGGAAACATGCATGTCTTCTGGTGCTGCTTGACAATTTAGAAAGATCAAAACAATCCAACTCCTACCTCAGCAGAATGATCTGTCAAGTGCTACAACTTGCCATGAAGATTTTTGTTAAAAAAACGAAATAAATCATCTAAAGTTCTACATTCAATGTCATTTTCTCTAATTACACCCTCAGCACCTCTGTAATTTTGAGGTTTACATCATAAAAACACTGATCATAGAAAGTGAAAAGAAGTAAAGTTTAAAAAGAACTCCAAAGCTTGGTACAACTGTTCAGTGTCACTTTAGCAGCAGCCCAGCAGCAGCACAAGCATCTCCCCAGGCTGCTGCAGAAGATACCTTACGTGAACTGCAGAGCACGTCAAAGAAGTCATGCTTGTGCAATTAGTTAATTAAAATAAATATGGTGATCCCCCTGCAGCAGAGACCTGCCAGTTAATCAATTATTCAAAAAATCATCAATTAAAACAAACATTCAGCTATTTGTGTAATCAGCTATATGTTTACAATAGCAATGCAAACAAAGCTGAGCACTGCTTACAAATCATTGCCAAGTTGGATCAAAAAGCATGGTGTTACCTACCTATGAACCTAGAAGGTAGACATTTTCCATAAGTATCTCAAATTATATCCAAACCCTGCACAAACTATGCCCTGCACTTTCATCATGGGAAGCAGCCAACAAGATTCAACCAAGCTCATTTAGGTATCAAAATAACCTGTCCTAAAAGAATCGATTGTGAAGTCAAACGTTTCGGTAATTAGAAACGCCAGAAAACAAGTCCAACTTTAATTTGTTCCCCATGTGGCAACAACATGATCACATGCTATTTCTCACAGAGCACACGCTCACTTCAGAAGCTCCTGTTTGACGGCACACGCCTGATCTTTTCAACTCCTCTCAGACATTTCTCTGGAGATTTTCTCCAGTACAAAATTAATAACTGTAAATGCTTCACACATTTCCACTGCTGTGGAAGAGAGGGATTAGCAACATCTCACACATTGCATTCAAAGGTATCTGCCCATTCAAAGGTATCCACTGCTTTGGCGGCACATTTGACAAACGTAAAGCCAGAAAGTTCAAGGTATGGGTTTTGTTAATATGAAATTTTAGTGTGCCACACTCCAGTAAAGCAGACCAAACTATCTTAAGCTGCACACCTGGAAGACAAGAGGCACACACCTGTGGATTACTTACACTTGGGTTAAAAGACTTGCACAACATCACGTGGGAACTCTGTGACAGATGCATGGCAAGAAGGTAGAAGCTGACCACCAACTCCCTTGACAAGGACATTTCCCATTCTTTTCTTGAAATCTGTCTGTATTATTGGCTACAATGACTTAACAAAATTAAGAGATGATCTTGAGAACTATAAGTTTCCTTGAATGCTACATCCTTCAGTCATCTCCACATCATGCCAGTGAAGTGAGATCCTTTGCTAAAAGATTTGTTAATATTTGGTCACATGACTTGTCACAGTCCAACAAGAGGTTCAGTGTGAGAGATCTGTGGGATCTCTCACTTAAATGTGGGATGGCATCACTCTGGCCTCTCTAAGGACTGCCAGAGAGGTCAGAACTTCTAGACCAACCCCACAGAAATTTGCCACTTCAGCTAATCAAAACCTGATAGCACAGCCAGGCTGTTATTCAGCTAGTGGACTAGCACAATAAAGGAACTGCACATTTCACCAATGGACTTCACAGTAATTGTGACATTTCCATTCTTGTCCTTAATCAGACCTCATGTTCACTTTTTAAGACACTTCACCCCAGTTGAATGCAAGAGAAAACAGCCTGAACAGAAAGCACCAGACAGTCTTAAAGAATCTGCTCACTCTAAGAAGAAGCAGCTTTGGAGATTACATATCCAACATACTTTGCACAGCTACACTAATACACAAACTGATACTACGTACTGAGAACCTTAATCTACGGAAAGATGGACCTCAGCATGAGCAACACGACAACCTAACAGTAGCACTCAAGATGCCTCAGCTGTACATTTGTTTACCCTTGTCCACAAGTCTAAGGAGTTTCCACACTACATATACTAAGTATGGAGTTAGTGGCACTGCATTCTCCACACGGAATTATCCCAATCCTGGAAGATCCAGGACAATCCCCGCTGCTTCTAGTAAGCAGAACTGCCTTGAAACACAGTTCTTCAGAATTAACTGGCAAGTAGTACCAAACCATGAAACTGGACAGATTTCAACTCCAGACACATTCCGGCAAGTTTTTCCCTAGACACACAAGAGTGCCCATCCTTTGTCACTGAACTCTGAGCGTTAAGCACCAAGCCAAAACAGCACACAGATCTGTCAAGTCAAACTGCCTTTCTTCAGCTCTGTCATTTTGCTTCCAGCAAGCACCATTTGGGTCTGACGAGCATCCTCTGTGATACACAGGCATCACTTCCCATCCACACAGGTCTCAACAAGCACAATTTCTGTGGGTATCTCTCTATACCCTCTTTTCCTCCTTTCCCAAGCTAACTACCAGGAGGAAAATTCAGAAAATACAGATTCTGGAGCAAACTCAGAAGCCCAGTGGAAGTGACGAGCAACTAAGACTACCAACTTCAACCTCACCAGCTGAGGACGTGTGAGGAACGACTAAAAACGCTCGAGGACTCCAGAAACCCACCGAACAAGGGAATAAAAAAAAAAAAATGGTGCAAACGAAGTCAAAGGTCTTTTGTTTTCCACCCTCTCAAGCCTCAAGGCTCACCTGTGCAATCTGTATTGGCTGAGATAGAGGGATCTGCGTCATCGGCGTTGCAGCAGAGGCTGAGATGGTGGCACCAGCAGCGCTGTGCTGCTGACTGGCTGAGTGCTGCACTGCAGCCGCCAGCAACTGTGCCTGCGCCTGTTGGAGCAATAACTGTTGCTGGGCTGGCGTCAACGTGAGCTATAAACAATTAGAAAACACAGCCATTAATAATGCAAAGAGCCACTGAAGCTACAAAGTCATTAGCTAGCTTGTTACTAGTTATATTAAGCAGACAACCCCAGAACTATTGCTACGGTTCAGCCGATGACTGTGGCCTTAAGTAAGGACAGCTGGCTACTCAACAGAGTGTAGGAACCAACCTACCACGGGCGTGACGTAAAACAAACTGCACCAAAGCAAACATTTGCACTTACTGGAACCTACAGAACCTAACTTCACTCCTAAGTCTTCTTCACAACTCTACCAGCAATTTCTGGGAAAAGGTAATTAAGTAGCAAGCAAAAGAAAAGAATCGGTATTGCCAGGATTTGAAAAGAAATTTACACCCAGCAGAACAGCAAGTGATTAGCCAGATGAATGCGAAGCAGGAATGCTGGCTATGGCTACTGAACAAACTGATAACACCCCAGCTGCTTCACATTAGCATGAATCCCTGCCATATTCCATCATTTCCATTATGCCCTAAGATATAAGTAAAGAACATGAGCTCCATTTGTTTTCTCTCCAAGTCTCCCCATCTGCTTTTTTTTTTTTTTTTTTCAAATAGAATAGAGTTGGCAACTTCACATCCCTTCCCTTTCCCAAACACGCATTATCTCTGAGGAACAGGTGGCAGCAGTTTCTCCTTTACATGTAAATGAATCTTGATGCCCATATTTACTACAATCCGTATCTGCATGGGCCTGGAGTTTTGAACGTTTCACTACAGCAGACAATCATGAATTAAAACAAACCAATATTTTTTGGGAATGCAAAAAATAATAAAATATGCCAGGTTTTAACAACATATTAAAACAGTCTCACTTTTAAAGCTTTCAAGTGCAGTTAACTGAAAACTAAATAGGATGTTTATTTGTACATTAACATAGAAGAAGGTTTAACAACTGAGCCTGAAATTAAGATGATATTTCATTCAAGTGTAGAGATGATCTAATCTAATACTTCGAATCATAAATACATTATTGGAGCAACTGCCCTAAACACACACTTAAAACTGCAAAGCTGACTACGTAAATGCTCATTCTTTAACGAGCCCTTTCGAAAAACTTCCTTTTTTGAGACGACTGAAAGCCTTTACAACAATTCAGAAACACCAAGCAGTCTAAACCAAGTTATCTCATATTTACTCCCAAAGCCTTGCAATTAAAAAACCCTCAAAACTGGTAGGTTAAAACAGAAGGGTTGAATAGGCTTAAGGAGTACTAATACAGTTACTTAAAAAAATGTATTTGAGAAGAGGAAGAATTAGCAGGTCCCATAATTTTGCTCTATACCCAGCTATCTGATAAGATTTAGTCTCGTTCTCCCATGTCCCATTTTAATCTTGAAAAGAAAATAAAAATTCCTCTTTATCACATCAGTGTGTGTCCTATTTGTACACACACCGGGTTTTCCTTTCATTGCAGAGTCAAGACGGGTACCGAGAACAGAGAGAAACAATTCTTTGTTGTTGTTGTTGTCTGGAAGCAAATACTATTGCAACAAACCCCAAATATTAAAGTCTGCTTATTTTTCTAGGAAGATACCTTCTGTCCCCACTTTCCCTGAAGTTTCTTCCTATGTTAATGACAATCCCCTTCACTGCCAGGCCCTGTGATACTGCCATCAGGAGGCTGACTGCAGTAAACCTGGGTAAACCTTACCCCAGTGATCTGTCCTCCGGCCAGCATGAGCTGGGTCTGGGGTATGGCCGCCTGCACTGAAGGCTGCTGGGAAGGCTGGCTTGGCTGCTGAGAGTCCCCAGATTCTTCATTAGATTTAGACTAGTCAAAAAAAAAATACAACTCTTTATAGTGTAAAACAGATGTTAATGTATAACACACTGCTATCTCAACACCGCACAATAAAAATCTTTCATCTGCATACAAAAAGCCCTTGGGTTTATTTTAAGAGTGTGTTTAAGCAATGGCTCTGTGTGCCCACCATCTCAGCCACGATTGCTCAAACATGTCTGTAGGTAATGCAGTTTAAACAAAACAGAGAGACTCTCTGGTCCTGTGTAACTCTTTGACGTTATTTTCAGGTCCCATCTCATCTCACGCAAAGCTGACGCTACCTCCCACCATAAAGAAAGAGAGGGCTGTTAAAATTATTCATTGCCTAAAATCCTGAACAATGGAACCAGGGAAAGGAGATTTTGTTTCCATTATCTGCATCCTGTACCTCTAAGTCATCATACTGTTGGTTTATATGGGACTGCTTTTGAAAAATCCTCACAGATTTATCCACCGACAGCAAAATACATAATACATAAAGTGCTTTTAAATAATCAAAGTTTAGCATTTATTCTATTTATTTATTAATGCTGCTTTATTTAAAAAGATTTGAGTTTATTTTGATTTATTTCCGTGGTTTGGTTGTTTGTTTTTTTAAACACAAGAAATTGTGAAGACATGAGGGAGGAAACGCCAGTGCATGAAGAGGGGGAGAGAGTTTTATGATAATTAAAACTGGTTATGCAGAACATTAAAATTCTGCATAGATTTGCATATTTTCCACCACCTGTTTTGGGGACTGCAGAGCGGGCTAATTAACATAAAGGCTCTGATTAATTCTGCCAGTCATTGAGTGATAATTACAGCGCAGGACTGTAAACATTCTGCACTGGAGATACAGCCTGTTTGCCAACATCTCTCTCAGGGATGGAAGTTTACCATGGCAACCAAGGCAATTTTCTGCCTCCTTCCTCTTAGAAAGGAAGGTCACTATACCTCCTCTTCTTTCCAAATTGTTATTATGTATAAGTGGGTCCACATTCTATTGCATTTCATGTAATGCACTACCTACATTCTTTAATAACAAGCAATACTGAAACCAGTCTTCAATAAAACTGCATCCCTTGCCCCTTTAATATAGTACTGAGAGGAAGTGGAACATTAACTGATACACTGAAGTGTTCAGCATCATAAAAAAGTTTGAAAGCTTTGTTGTCTCACGTACATTATTAAACAACAATTACTCTGACTTATTTTGATATCACTTTGTGTTATTTACAGAAGCAATCTAAGTCTGCCACCTTATATAGTTAATGTTACGTTATAGTCCCATATTCAGGTACCAGAAAAATCGCAGAGTAATACTTGATATGTTTAAAATAAGTGAATAAATGAAAGAACATGAAATATGCCTGGATTTTCATAGTTTTCATGACATGACACCTGACTGAAATTCAGCATTAAGTTATGATTGCTGCACGTCTTAAACAACTCCAGTGTCTGAATGCTGACTACCCTGAACCTGATTTACAGCTGTAAAACCATTGTTCCTTCATACCTATCACTTGCAAAACCAGTCGGACTGAAAACACAGAGTAACATATTATAGGTTAAAAACTATCTCTAATGGGACCAGGATGCTCTTCGGGATGAGAGAAGGACAAGCAGCAGAAGGTAACTGTCTTTACCTGTACATTTAAGGACTGAGCAGCAGCCTGTAAACTTGTTCCAGCGAGCTGGACCTACAACAGTGCAAAAATGGAAATGAAATAATGTAGAATCCACAGAAAACTAACAATGTAAAAAGAACCATCTCCCCACCCATGTCCCAACAAGAACACTGCATGCCCTTTTAACACCTGAATCAGTGAAACAGGAGTTGGGCTCCAGGTTGAAAAAAATCTATAAGGCACTTCCACAAGTGTCATTTGTCTACCTCTTGCAGAAGGTATTCCTGCCTAGGGATCTAGATATTATCATGAATAAATCTGAAACAGAGCATATTGGGTGGACAGGCTACCTAGTCCTATTCCTGTTCGAAAAATCCAGGCTCCAAGGGAGGCCATTAAGCTCTAGTCATCACCATCCTACCCATATTTCAGGATGGGTCTTACCCCAACACTGCATTCCCCCACTTTCTTACATGACAGAGGAGCAATCACCTGCACAGCACAGAACCCAGAGCATAAACACTCTCCCTCAAATCAACCTGTTCAAGTATTTCCAGTCCTCAGCCACTGAAAAGAAGATCTCAACACAGAGGACCAGAGACACTTTACAAAGGTTGTATTGATCCAGGTATACTTAAAACTTGAATCCAGTGTTTGTGATTAACAGGTCCAAAGAAGGTCTTGTGGGTTAGCAGTGAAGAAAAACAGATGCTTCAGAAAGTGAGATTTTTTAAAAGTGTTATTTTATCTCTAATAAGGATTTTCTCTGTACGACAAACACTGTATTTTCATTAACTCAAGACCATTTTAATCAGTCTTGCCTTGTTTCTACCAGCACTCCTAGTTATAAAGAAGGAATGCTATGTAATTAATTACCAACACTTTCAAAGGTCAGAGTTACAGCCTGTAGAGAATTCTGTCTCTGGCCATGTTTGAAAACCGCTGCTCATTTGAAAACAAGGCAACATGTGAGGATACAATAAAGCAAAGCAAAATGTAGCACTCTTGCCTCTGTAAAATGATGTCCCCACATAAAGAGTACACATTTTCAAGCATGGGAAAAACTGCAGTACACGAAATTAATAACTGAATATTTGAACAGGCGACCCTTAAAAGTCACCTTGGAAATATTTCCTGCCTCTCTAAATGAAGGTACCAGACTTACTAAGCATGTTCTACATCTAAGCAAACACTCTCAGAAAAGCCCCTCCTCATCACAAGCAAAATATAGTTTGACACAGTTGATGTAATGTCAGCTTTTAACATGGATTAACAGCAGAGAATAACCTAAACACCACCAGCCTGCCATCCAAAAAAATATACTCAGAAATAATACATTAAAATGACAGAAAACACACATAAAACACCACAAATGTATCTCAGGTACAGTCAACATAGTCCTGAAAATCTCTCTGAATGCAATTTGGACACCCCATTCACCACACAACCAACATTTTCAAATTAGAAATTAAACTGTTCCTGAATGCTGTCTACAGCCTAACATTCTGCATTAGTCTAGAGGAAAGCACTGTGTGTTAAGGTTGAATAACACCCCACTAAGAGCAGCCACACCAGCAGAGGACAGTTTGACAATAGATCCCCACACACCTGCAGGTGAATAAAAGAATACCTGAGATTTCCCTTTGAACCAGTTTCAAGAAATGAATCACACCTTATCAAACACGAAGTTATAAAGAACCTGACAACTGTTTAAATACATACATTTCCAAAGCAGGATAAAGCACTGTGCTAAACACAATTACTGTCCTGGGTCGATCTATTATAACAAAACGAAGAGTAAAACAAACACACAAAATTCTGCAGAGCAGCTCTGTGTCTCCATGTTAAACACACACTGGCAACCCATGAAAACTAGTCACCTTCCCTCCACAGAAAGGCACCCTACAACAGCCTATTGGTTCAGCAAATTCAAACAGTGGCACTCCCCAGGTCCTACATAAACCAATCTACTAGGAAAATTGCAATTATGTGACAAGACGTGTGGAATGTTCCATACAATAAAACGGCAGTTTCAGAGCTCTTAAAAGAGGGCATAAAAGCTTCAGTACTTCAATTATACCACAATAACTGTGCAACCTCAGACCTCAAACATTCAAGGTCATCCAATTAGGTACAGTATTTTAAAGTTTAAACTTGGTGCTGAGGAAGGGAAAGAAATTAGGACATTTGTTTTCATACATCAAGTGCGAACAGATAAAAAAAAAAAAACCTACAAAAATGCCCCTTATACTTCTCTTCACCTAGGGATGCCCCACTTTGCTTCAGCCTACATCTGAAATTCAACTTTGATTCCCTAAACACAGCAGCAGCAGCAGAACAGAGGGATAGTATTAGAAGTCTGAATATCATCTGACAAACAGGTCATTGAAATAACTTTAAGAAAAAAAAAAACAACTCGCAAACCATATATGCTTCGTAAGTATGATCAACTTTCTTTCTAGTTAATGTGCAAGGGCAAAGCGTAGTGCTGACTACCATTCAGCACCAATTCTCACTTTTAACTAGACAGTGACAGTTTCAGAACCTTGGCAGCTGTTGGGCCGATACAAGCCTTTCCCAAAAAGATTAAATTTTACCTTGCCTTTCAATTTGGTATCTCTATTAAGGTTAAAAAAACCAAACAAACCCCAAAAAAACCCCAATCAACAACAACTGAAAAAAAATCCTTCAAAAACACACACCACAAAGTTTAGGCATCCTCAAGTCCCCAAGATTTGTAGTTCTCTCAGATAGGTCCCACCCCGTCTTGACATATTCTGCAGCCCAATGCACTGCAGTGAGTGCCACGGTAAGAACTTTGTCCCATCCGTGCTATTTAAGCACATGGTCTACCCCTATGTTCCATTACATGACCCCCTGTCATTCACAGAAAGAGAGAACAAGGCACAACCAAGGGCAGCTGCATTTGCAGCTGTCTGAGCCTCCCCTGCTTTGAAACGGATCTTCCCTTACCTGATGAAGGTGCCCAAGGAAGGCCTGGGCCTGGGCTGTAGAGATTGCTCCTCCGACAGGCACAGGCTGCTTTTGAAAGTCCAGGCCATTTGTTTGCGTGCCTGGAGGAAGAGAGAGGTTAAAAACTATTAATTATTACTTTTGAGAAGCAAATGAAGAATTAATACGCCTAAGTTTCCTGCTGTTCTCTCAATACTACGTCGTAGAAAAATACTCCGAGAGTAACAAGAATTGAATTTTTTGCTGAAAGGGGGTTGAGGAAGCAGTGACCCAGCTTTGGTAATGGAGCATTTGTCAGCTGAACAAAATCAACATTGTATTTTCCTCAGCCTCTATTACCTTACCTACTTTGTGCACCCTGGAGATGCTTAAAAGATGTGGCGATGTGGCGTTTAGGGACACAGTTTACTGGTGGACTTGGCAGTGCCAGGTTAACAGTTGAGTTTGATGATCTTAAAGTTCTTTTCCAGCCTAAATAATTCTGTGATCTGTGTTTCTATCTGCACTATCACCCCATCATTGTCTACAAGGTTTGAGAACCAAATGAGTGCACACTGCTGAGATTAAACTGTGTTTCCCTTCTCCATGCACTCTCTAATCAGCAACTGAAAACTATCTTCAAATTCAGAACATGCCAACAGCAAGGTTCATATCAAGTCACCTTTCATTAAAGACAGGTAAAATAATACTTGACGAAAATAGAGGTTCCAAATATACATAGCAGTTATGGGTCACAGTTTTACTCTTTTGATAAAAGATACCTCCACGTTTCTGTCAAAATTTGTGCAAAGCTCTCATTAGGTAAGAAAACTGCCTAGGCTTGCTTCTGTTTTCACTCCCTTTCATATAACCAAAACCTGATGACTTTCCTACATTTTTGAAGATTTCTTCCTAAACAGTTCAAGAAACATTAAAACCCCTAAACTAGCCCAAAATAATCTGGCTCTGAGAAGGGAAAGAAAAATACCCAACATTTTTTCCACAAGACACTACCACAGAATTCTCTTCTGCCAAGAGGTACTATAAATGCAAACTTTTAAGAATCATTCTGTGGGGAGATGATAAGATCAACATTAGCAATTATCAAAAAAAGTGGGTTTGTGTGTTGGGTGTTACTACCCACAATGGCTAATAATGAGAAGGGAGACTCCAAGTGTATCAGGCTGCGTGGAATTTCTAGAACAGATGATGCAATCTTTAAAATTGCATGACTGAAATGAAGCAAAACCAGCTTTAGACTTGCATGTTTACTTTTCATGACGATCAGATTTTGTTCAGTGTCTGTGGACAGGTGTTCAGCCGACTCCTACTTCAAAATTCCTTCCATCATCCACATTCTTTGCCATAAAAATCTAGGTTATCTACTAAGCAAAAGAGTCACAGTTGTTAAACAACAACAGGGGGTTGCTATTCCTTAGAAACATCTGCAAAAGCAAGCAGGCATAAAATGTGATTAGTAAAATAGACTACCCAGTATTTTACATTGCTATTTTGACCTACAAACAGCTTAACACAGATAACATTTCCAAAGACTGACTCACTGTTCAATTAAATACAGACACAACAGAGATAGTCTGGCATCCATGTAAGATATACAAAGGTGGCCCTTTGATGCATCTTTGGTGGAGGTGTTGTGGGAGGAGAGTTGGTCTACTCTCAAGTTTTCAACTCTGTGCTTTGGGCCAAGGTTTAGAAACTTAGGAGACATACGTGTTAAAAATATTCCAACTTTAAACTACGTAAAATTATTTTGAGTTTAAAATTCCAATTAAAAATGAATGGAAGGACTATTACTAGCCTGAATTGATCCTGAATGAATGCAACTTGTTTGCCTTTCTCTAAAGAAAGGTAGATAAAAAAGGTCTGCTGGAAAGAGCTAGAAGAATCTCATCTATTTTCATTCTTTCCAGCAAACTGCAGAATTCTCTTCATGCAGAAGGCCAAAGGGAATGGAAAGATGATTGGATAAATATATAAAAATAATTCCTGACAAACAGCTACTGTAATTCAAAGGAAACAACCTACCACCTCCCCTTTTAAGCAGAAGCTTTGAATTAGTTTTCAGTGTATAGCCAGGGACTCCAAAGTACAAAAAGAAACCAGATAAGAAAACCTACTGCAAGGCAGATACTCCTTATTCCAACTGGAAACTTGCAGGGGTTACAAAAATTACCTGTTTCTGAGAGGACTGGCTGGAAGCCTCACCTTAAGTAAATAGGTGAAGCTGTTCTAGTTAACTGTCTTCCAAAAGGAGCCTCAAATCACGACACCATATTAAAAGAACAGCCCTGAGCACGTGCGCAGAAAAAATGCTCCACTTAGCACTCCTGCTGACCCTTAATATGGAAACCTGAAATGAGCCTCCTACGTGACAGTTTTGAACAAGGCAAGCTCCAAGACTGAGCTTAAAATCTCCATGGGTCTCAATAAAGAATTTAGCTGGGCACTGAGAGTGCCCAACATTTTCTTTGAATTCAATCTTGAAAGACTTCGACTCCCTCTTCTGAGGCCTCCCAAAACCAAACTCAGAGTAAAAAAAAAACCCCACACTACACCTGTTCACCCTCTCCTGTACTTGCCTCTTAAACTTTCTTTGGCATTTGGAAGTACAGCATTCCCTCCCCTTTGGGTGAAGCTTTAGTTTTGGAAGGAATGCTACCCGGGTTGCTTGCATTTATTACAGGATGCCTATGGCTTCTGAAGATCAGAAAGGAAAATAAAGTGAGTCCAGCATGTAAGAGGCCTTGTTTTTAAGGTATTGATAAGGATGTGATGCCACTCCTGTGGAATCCAAGAAATCTAGAAATGTGATAAGGAGCTGGAAAAGAGAGCTGTCAGAAGCAGAAGCTCAGCACATTCTAAGGACATGGAAAGACCAAAATGCCACTTTTGTTCAAGATAAGAGTTCAATACAAAAAGCCACGATGATTAATGGACACAGCAGATGCAATCACAGGCACTGGGGTTTTAACAATCCCAAGTATTCATGTATCTTCCATCTCCTACTCGAAAGGAGTGGATCTCTCCATGTCCCATCCCTACTTTCTTCTTGTTCCAACTACATTGTCGCTGCCCTGCCCTTTCTGGTAGTTCTAAGTAGTTTGTTTTGTTTTGAGTGCTGCACCCTCAGCAAGCTGTTGAGACTGAGTCAAACTGTAGGATGAAATTTCACCCTTATAGTCGAGGTCCAATGCAACTTAAGCACATTTAAATTCTGGCATAAATTCAGTCATGTGCTTAACTACTTCACAGAGGTGGTTTGGATGGAGACTAACACAGTGCCTCTCCAGAGAAAGGAACAGAACACTAAGTACCAGGACACCCTGAACATGGATTAGTTTATGCCATCTTGGAGGGTAAAGGCATGAGAAAGTGGAGTAGGCAAGGTAACATTGCACCTGCAGTCAGGGGAACAACTTGACTCTCAGAATTCAAGAACATAATCATCAGACTTCAGCCTGAGTTTGCAAATTGCATAAGAAAGGAAGAGGAGTGAGGAACTCCAGGTCTGGGGAAATGTGGAGTAAGGTCCAAGAAAGAACTCAGAAAGGGAAAGGAAGGAAGAAGAAGGAAGATTTGAAAGCTGACTGGTGTGAGGATGTGTATCATGCTCTGGGGGACATCTCCCAGCACCACCAGTACATCTCCCCAGCTGGATCTCCAACTCTCTGCATGTGTCGAGAGAGAGAGATACCCCCAATGCTCAGGAATTGTTGATTCCTTGTCCACATTTACTAATAAGAAGTTTAGCATTAATATTTGCCCGGAATTTTAGCAATTGAAGAATATTTTATGATCCCTCTCCTATAGACTTCCTTCTTATGGAAACCGGAAAAATCAGTCTCTGGAAATGAAGTAATGCAAACAAGAGCCTTTAAAATCCTTCCAAATACTACACTTACAAAAACTATTATTTTGCTGCTATGTCAACACATGTCATAATACTACAGTTTCCATAGTCATTATAACCTTGGCTTTCATAGTGCTGCATTCACACAGTTTTTAAAAGAGAAGGTGCATTAAACAAACAGAAAGGTTGAGATGTTTTGGAAAATTTTATGCTGCAGCCTATAAAAAAGGACATCCAAAGACTATCCATTTACTGTAAGACATTCTTCTTACTTCTCTTTTTTTTCCAGTAGCTACTACATAGACTGTCCACCCACAACTGCAAGACTGGAAAAGATTTCTGTAACTCTACAATACTGATGACCGATGGATCAATTCACGTTCTTGAGGAAACAGCCATCCAACAACTCTTGTACTCATTTTTTTGTTGTTGTTCTTAAGTGATCTGAAATATGGGTTGCTTTTTCAGATGTTTAAAAGGGAAGTCCAGCTAGCACAAAGATTTTAAAGTTATAATCTATTTCAGGCACTCTATTGTGTCCAACATATTTAGGGGACTTTACTATGGTCCCTAAATAGTCAGAACTCAAAACACAAAATCCTAGTTTAACTCCATGAAACTTAGTTGTTAGGTCAGAAAAATACTGATGTTGTCATCTTTACCAGTGGCAACTGTTTTTTCCTGAGAACACTAGCTCTGCCAAATGGAAATGCATGCCCTAGAGTAATCTCTCTTAAAATTTTCAAGTTGCATCATCTCACTACAGTTTAAAACAGGAATGACCCAAACAAACATCCATTGAGGTTTAAAAGATAGACTAGTAGTGTTTGCACAACAGACTCAAGTGATTTACAAATGTCACTGGAAAACAGGCAGTTGCAGGAAGTTATAAAAATAAGAACTCTGAGTGTTTATAAAAATCATCTTCACACATTGTCTGGGGAGCACGTCTGGGGAGCACAGGCACTGAAGAAAAATCGATGGCACTCCCAGTTCCTCAGCATCTGAGCTGAAAGTTGACTTTTTTTTCCCACTAAGGATGCACTGAGTCCAGAACCATAATCTAAGCACCCTGATCAGAAGCCTAAAATTACATTCTGTGAGTATTCCTTTCAGGGTCTAACATCTGCCATTGACTAATAAAACTGATGCTCGAGCTCCCAAAGAACATCAAAATGCCATCAGTCACTATCTCCAATGGTTTATGAACTCTGTATTTAAAAACGAAACAATGACTGGAGAACAAAGGGTGCTCAAAAATTCTAGATTATTTTAGTTCACATAATTTAAACAATCAGGGTACAAAACTGAAAGGAAAGACTGGTAACATTTAAACTACAGAAGCAATGTTCCAAAGTTCCAAACGCCAATATGAGTCAAACTTTTGTAATAACTAACCTTAGTATTAGAGTATAAAAAAATATAGACATTGTATCCCCTTTTAACATGAAAGGACCTACATGCAGCTTTACAATCCATCCATTCTATGTCATGACCCCCACCTCCACAATGATGAAATATTTGCCTTGGAGAGCCGAGTCAGGGTTCTGCAGAAGCAGGTGCAGTGCTTTCACAATAATGGATTTATTTTTAAGGACTACCTTTGAATAAAGCAAATCCTCCTCCTAACAGCTCAGTTTAGGTCAAACTGCTGGTTAAGGCTGCACTGAGGGAAGAGTGTTGGGAATGCACTCTGGAGAAAACATATGCTGGGAACTGTGGTCATACAGAGGAGGAAATCTGAATTTTCTCAGGAGTTTACACACAACCTCCAGCTACAAGGAGTCTACAGGGATATTTAAAAATCATTGTTCTCTTGATGCTGTTTATGATCATGAAATATTTACAGTCCATATGTTTTGGAAATACGGTTTTATATCACCCTAAACCAGTATTAAATACATAACAAAACACTTTTGCGCACAGAAAGAATTGATACCTCTCCTACTAAAAATACAGTGGCAATTATAAAACCTGAGAAGCCAGTGACAAAACACACATTAATAAGCAGGCAGAATTCCTTTGGACTGACCCCGTGCATTGGCAGAAAACATCCAGCCTCTCGGACCAGTACTGGGAACATTCAGTCACTCTCAGCTGCACTAAAGCCTTGCACAAAGAATTAGGAGACAGTGGTATAGAATGAAAAATAGTGTTAATTTCCTCACAACTCCAGAGTTTAAAATAAAACTCTTATTACTGAACCATGAGAAGGAAAAATAATATTCCCTCATACAAGGTAACCAGACTTCTCTCAAAGCAACAAGTTCCCTGTCATTAAAATTTTCTCTTCCCAAACGCTGTTCTGAGCTCAGAAAAGATTCTGAGTCAGGTTAAACTATTTACTTTCCATTCAGAAGTGTCATTCCTCTTGCTTCCAAAGTGAACATTAAATTACTTCCAGAAAGGAATTAAAGCATAAGATAGAATGCTTAAGCTACAGAGGCTTAACAACCCTCTCCAATGGCTTAGAACTTGGTCACATCTTAAGGATGCACCAAAAGGCACACTGGTCCTGGCACAAAGGCTAAATTTGACCAAATTTCAAGGTTCTGTTCTAACACACAAGGAACTTACAGAAAGGCTGGGCAACTTTCTTTTTTAATGTTGAGAAATTAGGCTTTCTCCCTTTCACTTGTTCTTGAGAACTGTTGTGACAGCTTGAATGAAATCTGAAATGGAAACAAGATCAGGTAGTGGCCCACACCTGCCAGGGAAAACTTCAACCCAAAAATAAACGACAAAGTTAGAAGTGCCGAAGGTCTGTTCTGCCAGGAAAAAACCGAGACTACTTATGGAGAGCTAGTGCCACCAGGCCTTCTGTAGTATCATAAACATTACAGATAGAAAAAGGGGGAAGGGGACTCTAAGATTGTGTGGGTAGTGCTCCAATGCAGTATGGTTAATGACAAAAGTGTTCCCAAGTCTCTAAAAACAGTGGGTGTGGAGTTTGGGGTTTTTTTTTTGGTTTGGTATTTTTTTATCCCAGTAAGCTGGTAAAGAAATTTGGCTTTTCATATTCATTCAATTCCACCAGAAAATATCTGTGCACCAATTCATCATTTCTTACCTGTGTTCCCGTCCCCACTCTCCATTGATGGTTTACTGGTTTCTGACGGATTGTTCATTCTTGAGTCTGCATTAAAACAGAAATAAAGATAAACCAATACAGCAAAAAAAACCCCAAATCTATTAATATCTTTTTGCCTAGGGGAAGTACAGAACATCAGAAATTTGCTATGTACTTTACCCTAATTCAGATTATAACACAAAAAGAGCAACCAGAATTAGAACACAACACCAAATCTTCCAGATAAATATTGTTTCAAAATTTTCTATGTCATTATTCCCATACGTGAAAAGGTGGTATTAAGGGAAGAAATGACAGCATGCTGGAGGGCAATGATAGGTAGGAACTTAATTTTCAATACAATGAAAGTCACAGAAAAAAAAAAAGGAGGGGGAGGAGGAAGGAATAATGACTACACCAAGATTCAAAAATGTGAAGTCTGACCACCATGGCCTTCATTATTCTTGTGTTTGTTCTCCCCACCCCACCCTGATAACAGAAAGGAAATTCAGTCACTACAATTAAATGGATGCCATTTTTCTAATACTGCATTTCTGTTTTACTGGAATGTCACTGACACTAAGTTATTTTATATTCCCTATATATTCATGCAAAACCACATAGGTATAAACCAACCCATTTTCTACCTCCCTCTGGATGAGTCTATTGCAAAGTCTGTTCTTGGTTTCAAAGCCTGTCAGCTGAATGTAGTGCAATGCAGAGGGCCTCTCCAGACAGCAGACAGAGAATATAGTTCCCTCATAAAGGAATCTATACAGATGTCCTGTATACAGCATCAGCTTTCCAGCTTATTACCTCCTCATTCCTTGCTACTGACCCCACTGAGCCACATTATCACAAACCAAAATTACAAACAGAACCTCAAGACAGACCAGATCATAAAATAAAGTGTAAGCAAATCCTTAAGCCCATTCTTCCATTCCCATAACGAGCTAAAATCAAGTTCAAGGAGCTTAAAATGAACCGTTTATTCCAGGATATTCTCTTGCAAGGTGTTTAAAAGGTTACCTCTGCCATGTACTTTCATCAAAGCAGTGGTTTCCAAAACACCAATGGACTGAAGAAGAATACAGTAACAGCACTAACTGCTGCATCTTTCCCCCCACCCCAGACAGTCCCAAGAATGCCCAGACCCTTCACTGTTTGGCAGTCTGTGAAAGCTGGGAATGAGAAGATGCACTATGGCCATGTACCATCACCTGCTACTTCCCAGAGACACCAGTGCCCAGGAAGGACGTGGACCTATTGGAGCAAGTCCAGGGGAGGCCACCAAGCTGGGTAAAGGGATGGAGCACCTCTGCTACGGGGACAGACAGAGTTGGTGTTGTTCTACCTGGAGAAGAGAAGGCTCAGGAAGACCTTACAGCAGCCCCCCAGTAACTAAAGGGAGCCTACAAGAGAGCTGGAGAGGGACTTCTACAGTAGCATGTAGTGACAGGACAAGGGAGAATGGCTTTAAACTGGAAGAGGGCAGGTTTGGACTGGCTATTAGGATGAGAGGGTGGTTAGGCACAGGAACAGCCTTGCCCAGAGACAGTGTGGATGCCACAGTCCTGGAAGAGTTTGAGGCCAGGTTGGATGGGGGTTTGAGCAACCTGGTCTAGTGGAATGTATCCCTGCCTTTGGCACGGGTTTAAGGGTTGGAACTAGATGATCTTTTTCCAACCTAAACTATTCTGTGATTCCGTGATCAATGTTTTGAAAACCATTATAATTTTCCACATAAACAACCGTGGCAGTTGAACCCAGTAGAGCCTTGAAAACCCAGAGGCCTGAAACAAGCAGAAAACTTCCCCTCACAAGTTAACACATCCTCTCCAGAGCCTCAACTCTTCTCAGAAAGTTCCTATGCCTATCCTTAAATCTTTCAAATGTTCAGCCACGTGTAAGAGATCTGAACTATCAGTGTTACTCTTAGTATAAAGGCAGATGCGTTAAACTGCTTTTTGAGAGAGAGAGTGAGGAGAAACTTTGCAGTTAAGCACTGCTGGCCCACACTTCAGCAAGAAGCTGCAAGTTTTGCCCCGTTTTTCACAACCTCTGCTTAGCACATTCAAGCTGTGACTTCAGTCTGGAAAGACAGAACTGTGCTAAGGTTGCTGGTGCAGAACCTTTTGCTTCCAGGTTCCTTATTTTGTCATTTTCTATATTTGGATAGCATGATCCACACTCCAGAAGCAGAACATGGGTTCTACTGACTGTACAGAAATGTTTGCTGTTGACACAGCCCTCTCTATCTCTGCAGATAGATCTGTGTGCAAAATAAATACAAAGTACATTTCTATCTAAACATTGCATATACCTTAAATTGAGTTTAGTCTTGTGGCAACAGCACATTTATTTGGAATGATTACAGGCAACGTGCATTTGATAAACAGCATTAGTTCATTCTTTTACACAGAGAGGGCTACTGAAAGTAGTTTATGTTTAGAGAGCACTGAAGGAGAATCTCTGCTTTTGATGCAAACATCAAGAGCCCCATCCAACAGGAAGATGAGCAAAAGCACTTTCAAGTGAAATACATTTGGTTGTGGAAACTGGGCTAACTTATGGTGCTACTGGATGTAGGATGCACATTTTTAAGCCCAGAGCAGAGGGGTGGCCTGAACTCACTATACAACTGACCACAAAATGGAAGAGCATAGGCTGAGCAGGGTGTCTCTCAACAGCATGGGATCCATTCCTTGAGTCACTTCAGAAAACTTATGCAAGAAAAACAACACAGGGCCTTCTGTTGCTGGTTTGTTGGAGAAACTGAAGTATTGGAGCTGCAGTGCAGGATACTAATGGTAGAAACCCAGAGGAGGGGACACAGGTGTCCTGTGCACAGAACTCGAAGCAAGGTAGTGACTGTTCTGTCTGTACGAGGAGGCTCCTACAAGGAGCCTTCCTGCATGATGAGCAAGTTTGCTCAGTTACACCAAGTTATCACTGTAGAGACCTCCTTCCATAAAGCAAGCCAAGACGTTTTTCTGTCAGACTGTGCTGCAAAATGAACCCTTTTAGAAAAGGTTTCCAGTGTTTTCTAGTACTAGGCATATACAACTACTTATCTACTAAAAGCTTGTCTAGATGAGGAATATTGTATTGTAAAGATCCGTCCTTAACAAAGACCTCAAATGTTCCTATTGCAAAAAAGCAGCAAGTTGGAAGAAGAAACATCTTTCTGGTAGTGCTCAGGTTCAAACGAAGGATAGCATCCATTATTTCACCAGCTGACTACTTCTTGTTCAATCTGTGGGCCTTCTGCATGTAAAGCATCAAGAACAATGGCGCTATTTCCATTGCAAATGGTAGGACATACATCTGAAGCACAAAACTGCTACCAGCAAAACAGACTCATATCCGCGGGATACTGAACCTACGGACTCATTATATGTCAAATAAAAAGGCTATTTGGTTTATGCATGCTCATACAATTTCTGCTTTAAAGGTAAAAGAATAAACAAATGAAGTGGGCTAAAAAAAAAAACCCCAAACCTTAATGCCTTCACCTTTTCTTCTTCCTTTAGATCTTGCTCGGGTTTTAAATAAAGGCCCTGGGCTACAACTTCTGCCAACATTATCTAAAAAACAAACTCCACGGAAGGAAGGATCGAAAGCAGCAGGTGCATGATTGAAATCAAACTCTCAGGAGCGAATACATTCCGTACAGCTACTCTGCTGGCAGGGCTGAGGTGTCGCCAGGCAGTGCCGTGCCAGGCTCTCACACACCCTCAGGAACGTTCCCAAAGGCATTCAGGAGAAAGAAGCAGCGGACACTGGACCAACCTGGAGTATCAGAGACTGTACCCAGCTGGTAAAACACCGAAAATCTTAACATGGTTATATTGCCATTAACTGTTTCCTTTCACCCATCAAAGTGAAACTGCCTAATGCTCCATCAGCACCAGGAATAAATGATTCACTGACGTGCACGGAAAAACCAAAGTTTAATGTGAGTGAAAACACGCCAAGAATTGCTTAGAAATTAATTTTTTAAAAAAACACATCATATTCAGAAACAAACATATTCATGTGTCTGCTTTAAAATTTACCATTCAAAAATATATTCTTTTTCTTTGACATATAAGTTCTCACCTGAACTTACATGATGGAACTAAAAGAATAATAAATATATATATACATACACACACACACACATTGAGCTTTGTGGAAAAAGCCTTGAAAATAAATACAACCTATTGTAAAATTGGGATGATCCATTACTATAAATAACTTTAGAAGACATGGAGAAGAAATTATGGCATGTCTGTTCTGCAGCCCTGGTGGAATCTCGGCGCAGGAAATATATTATCCCAGTAACCTTAAGCACAGCTTTGCCACGGTATCAATGGTAACCACTGTGCACTCCACCTTATTTTCTATTACGCACGAAGAACCTTGCTATATTAAAAATACACAGACATAACATGCATTCTGTTGTGGAATGGCTCAATACAGTTGCTAAATTCTTTGAGACTGAGGCTCCCTCTCATTCATTTTAATGCTTTAAAATTCATAACACAGGGACATGCAAGTCAAGTCCAGCGTTTGTTAGAAGCCAAATGCTTCTCAGATTGAAATCCTAAAAGCAAAAGGTCTGTATTAATATCATCCAAGTCTGTGCAGTGGAAACGAATTCTCCTGGAGCGAGGGAAAGGAGGGAGGGGAAAAAAAAAAAAAAAAACACAACAAAAAACAAGCCATGTATTTCCCTGGTACAGATCTAGCTATCTATCTAGCAGGCAGCTACTTGCTGCCGATTCACTGGTGAGCTCCAGCCTCCCAAATACCCTCTCCAGCCTCTGCATATGTGATTAAGCCTCTATGCATAGTCAATCTCACAGCCTCGGTGTCCGTAAGAAAGAGCTGAGCTGGTACCCACCTAGAACGTAGTCGCTGCAGTCCAGCATTGCTGTGGTCTCCTCTACGGGTTCAGATAGTCCAAGGAACGGGAGAATGGCAATTTCTATCAAATCTACACTACTGCTCTGACCGAGCACGAAAGGGAGTGGGGAGGTGGGGGGAGAAATACAACTTCAGTTACACCATAGCAATCTTCAACTGAACGGGGAAACTTCAGTTGCTGTGTGGAGTTTTAGTCTCTCCTACTAGCTGTGTCTGACATTGTCAAGGCGACTGAAGCGTGAAAAGTTCCCCTTTTTGTAATAAAATAGAAACAAAGATTGCAGCTGGCAGTTTCCATAATGAAGCTTAATCAGTATGCGCCTGATTAGGGCCTTATGCAAATCTCCTCTCGTTAGCACAGCAGCCAGCACTTTGAAGTCCATGAACAATTCATTTGCAGAGTACACTGAAAGCGCTCCCTGCATAATTTAAATCACGGTATAAATATTTATCAGCTCATTTGCATATTAATTGGCAGTGCATGAAGGGAAAAATTATCTCCCGAGTGCCAGCATAATAATTAGGGAACAAAATGAATTTTCTTCCAATAGCTTGGCTTCTCAGCCCTAACTCAAGCACAGTACCACAGGGGAGCAGGGAGGGGAAGAGACAGAGTTCTGTTCAAATGCCACTGAAATGACACGTACAAATTAGAAACAACTCTACAGACTTAAGCACCTTTAATCTTATTCCTGCTGGCAACAATAACTTCGGTAATAAAGGGGATTTGGAAAAAGCTTTCTACACAATCCGAATAATCCCACGAAAACAATTAGCAAGGTAGAAGCCGAACACAAAGCTGTCAAACCGGTGCTTGCACATCTGCGTGGAGTTTTCCACACCCGAACACGCACCGTCACAGGAAGGTCCTGGGCAGGGAAGGGAGTACCACCAGGGCAAGGAAGTGGCACGATTCCCTTTAAACAGCTAAAGAGCTTGGTGATTCATTATCGGGTAATCCCTTTGCCACGGCCAACTTAACAGCAGTGGATATGTCAAGTATCGTGTAACATTTGACACCCATTAATCTATCCCGAGTGAAATCAAAATAGATTTAGTCTTTTGCTTTCCGATGACTTCCAAGGAAAAAAAAAAAAAAAAGAAAACCAAAAATCTATTACTAATCCCTTCAAACACATCCACAATATGGCTAAATACAGCTTGCTGCGGAGCTATGGTCTGTGAAAGGGGCACGTCACACCCGCGTTGCATCTTTGAACCACCCAATGATAACCAGAACATGCTCGCTGCTGTGACCACAAAGTGCGTTGAGGCACCGGAGAACTGGGAAGAGGCTTTGGTTCATGGAGAAATCAATCTTCTTTTCCAAAGGCGGTCCGCAGAACTAAGTGTACCAACTATAAGGCTTTATTAAACCATTTCAAATAGTTTGTTTACCCGTCATATACTAGTGTCCTAAACAGCAAGAACATTTATATAAAAATTCAAGCATGATGTGGGACATCACAACACTTAATATTCCATACACTGATCAAGAAAATGTAATGTGATGACACAAATGATTACAGGGTTGAGCCATCCACTTCCAGATGTTAATGTGACTTTAAAGAGGAAGTTGTTGTTTGTTTTGGTGTTTTTTTTTTCTTTAAAAGAAACCCTAGCTGTACTTTTCTCCTCCTCATTTCTGAAGTGAATTCGAGCACCGCCTCTCCAAACAAGAGGGAGTGAGAGAAAAGGGACTTCTCAATCATCCAGTACTGACTGGAATTTATTTCCACGCTTGACCTCTTCTTCTGTTCAGGTTCATATCTCTACTTAACACAAGATGTTCCCAGCTATATATTTAACATGAGTGATCTACACTTGAAAAAGATTGCAAGAAGAGAAGGAGAAGGTGCTCCCTACTGCAGGGAAACAACTGCGTGCACTGAATAGGTTTTCCTAACACCTTGTTTCCAACTTGGTTTTCTACTCATTCACGTGTCCCATTGAGACCTCTGAGGCACGTCTTCACGGTTCACAGACCTTCAGTAAACTTCACTCCTGCACACATGCTTTTGGAGTGCACTGGGAGATAATCCGTTTGCTTCACTGGAAGAGCCTGGACACAAACGGTGGAACAACCCACGCCCTCCACAAAGCGAGTGCTGGTTTAGGCAGTGGCTGAGTTGAGGCAGCAGCAGCAGAGTGGGAGGACAGCAGCGTCCTCTTTGGGGTCCTCTTCAAATGAGAGTGTTGAGCTGGTGGAGCGCAGGTGCAGCGTCAAGAGCGCAAGGCCACAGGAAGGGACCGTTGAGTTCGGGCACGTGGGTAGTGATGGGTGACTTTACCAAACAACAGAGCAAGCAAACAGCAACAAAAGGCCAGGTAAGGACACGCCTGAAGCAGTCCTAGGAAGTGTGCTGGTGCTGCCAGCATATCAACACTGCAGGGACAGCTAAGAAGGACAAGGCAGAAAGCTCCTTCCCCTTCCCAACTGTGTCAGTGAATCCACCTCACAAACACCGACCCCCACACAAATTTCAGCTGTAACATCCACCAACCTGCTAATCGAAATAAAAATGTGTACATTGCCCTATCAAACTAACAGTTGGCCAAAAAAACCCCAGACAAATTAATTAAAAAAACCACCCCAAGCCAACCAACCACCACAAACACCACAAAACCACCCCAAACCACACTGCTCTTCCAGTGACCACTTCATTCTTTGACAATTTTATTATCTCCCCCTTTATGTAAATTTATCAAATCATAAAATGGTTTGGATTGGAAGGTGCTTAAAAGATCATCTACTTCCAACTCCTCTGCCCTGGGGCAGGGACACCTTTCACTAGACCAGGTTGCTCAAAGCCCCATCCAACCTGGCCTTGAACACTTCCAGGGATGGGAAGCGTTCTTTTTCTTTTTTTCTTTTTAAATTTATGCCTACTGCTCCAGCTGCTCCCCCATAGTGTACATGGTAGAAGGCATCCAAGTTCTTCATTTTTGGCAAAAAAAGACCCTACTGTTTCATTTATGCCACACTACTGCAGCTATTTATTTGAGAGTCTTCTGAAGGAGGCCTGTAGACATAAGAAGGAAAATGTTTGGGGAGGAATGGTGCATTCCACCCTGCTCCAACACCAGTGGTGGAATACGTTCATTTAAAGTTCTGTTTAGGCTCTGCCACACCACTGCTCATTTTTTTCTTTCTGGCTTCTTATGTTAAAGGTTACTTAACACCCTCAACCAAAGTCATACTTCTGGTATTCACGTTTCAGAAAAATAGCACTCTTTGCACACAAAGTTTCATTTTCCCTCCAAAGGCACCTCTAAGAGGAGAAAGTGGTGCCCCTTGTGATCATCGGTGTAAAAACCGCTCACATCCCGTCAAACTGCAGATATCTCAAAAACTGTCTCTCTCCTCTTCACCCAATTCTACAGGTCTTACATTGATCATTTTTTTTCTCCCATAATTCTATTCATACTCACCCTTAAAACCAGAGGAACTAAGCCACCAACTCAGGTATGAGAAAGGCAGATGTCCTTCAGCCAAACACTTCAGAGTCTGCAGGTAACACTTCAGGAGACTCTTTCTACCCCATTCTCCTCTCTTTGTTACTCTTTATGTATCTTCCATCCTTCCTTTTCAAGTGAATGCTTTCCTTTTCCTGCTTGTCCCACCAATATGTCACTTTATTTAGCCAGTTATAATGACCATACCTGATCCCTTAATAACTTTGTTTTTGGAAAAGGAAACTCATTTTTCACTGCAGGCTATGCAACTCTCAGTCAGACCTCCTTTTACATCTTCTCTTTTATTTCACTTATTATGCCCAATTGACTGACTGTAAACTCCACAAAATTATTCCCCCATGTTATCTATTGTAAATAAGTGTGATATATAGTAAAAGTTGTTACAAACTAGGGTGAAAGGACATTTAAACCCTTATCTTCAGATGGTCAGTCTCTCTTTTTCTTTTTTTTCTTAAAAAAACCCACAAAACCCCCCAAACAATACAAATAAAGTTGAATTAAAGGGATGAAGGGCAAAGATATTATCAACATTATTCAACACATTTATGGGGGAAAGGAATCTTCATTTTTATATGGATGTGTTTGCATATATTAGTAAAATGCCATTTACTACATGCCTTCCTGTGACAGCAGAAGAAATTTCAGCCCCCAGCCAGCTCAGTGACAAGCATGACCTTTGCAAACTTCAGGGGCACACTTTGTGATGCAACATGGAGAGATTACCCAACAAGCCACTAATTCATTATTTCCCTTCTGAACAATGTGCTTGGAACAGAGTGCAAAGGAATACATACAAATGGAATACAAAATTAGAGGGAAAGGAAATAAGGCATCAACTGTGATGTTTGCGTGTTGCCCTCATTAGGGCATCACTGCCTAGGAGATTTTACCCTGAAGAACTACTGAAGAAGGGTGGTCACCAAAGCTTTGAGACCAGAGCACGACATATGATGCCAACCAACACTGCAAAGGCCAGAGTGAGCTGCTCTCCCCGTGCCACACCACTGGCACAGTCTGCCCTGGAGGGGCATCACACACAGCTACATTTTAACTCAAAACATTTCCCAAGCTCCATCCCACAAGCCAAATGAAACCTTACAAAAATTTCAACAAACAGAACTCCGATGTGCTACTAAAATAAAAAATAAAAGAAAAAAATTACAAAAATCATGTACATGTCAACAAAATTAACTGTTACTAAAGCTGGCACAATCCTCTTAAGAGTAATTACAGACAGACAGCGGCCTGTTCATAGTTGGGGTTCCAAACTAAGCTCTAATTTTAGCCACCACCTTTGACTTTGGCCAACAGAATTGATTTTATCCGAGAATTGGTAAAGCCAAAGAGCAGTTGCCTGGAAAAGTCAAATAAAATTGGCCTGTTTTAGAATTACTGGTCATTAGGCAATTGCTATGATTTGGAATTTCAATCTACATCTAATTTTACTTCTCACAAACTCAAAACATAACTATCCTTTAAAACTTCCCACTGCACAAAATACCTTTAAAAATTCTTTAGTGTACGTTTTTTTGAAGGAAATTAAGTACGTGGAGAGCTAAGTAGGAATGCTAATTTATGGCATCAGTGCAGGACAGCAGATACTCATAAGCACCTGACATATTAATATAAAGGGATTTGTTTGTGGGTTTGGCTTTTTAGGTCTCCACTTATTTTTGTCCACACATGGTAGAAACTCCCATGAATTAAGTCTTTTTTTCT